ATGCAGCTTGAAGTTACAAGTGTCAAAATGTAAAATGGCATGTAATTACGCTTTAAATTCTTGTCAATAGTACTCCTTAATTTTGCCTTATTAAAAAAGAAACCACAGCAACATAAGGGAATAATCCTGTAATGTGTATCACTTTTTTTTATTGTATGTAATTACAAGTTAAAATGTACTGGTTAAAGGGTGTGTTCGCAATGCATGAAGTTGTACACCAGCATGAGCCATCATAGCTTCATTAGGCCATGTCAGGTAAATGAGGAAGAAACCCAATTTTCATTAAAATGCTTTTATTTTAGGATGTAGTCAAGGGTATTTAGTTGATGGGGTTTTTTTGTGTCCATGGAAATTTCATCCCCTCAGGCCAAAGTTAAGATTACACTTTAGTAGTGCTGGTAAAGAATTGAGGACATCAGTGCAACTCCTGACAGCGCTCTTGGCTGTCATCCTGCCTATAATGTACAGATAGATGGTCAAGGTGCTTTTGAGCCAGTTGCTAAGCATTACTGTTTACTACATGGTGTTTTAACACAAACATTAAAGGAAAACTTCAGAGTAGTGTCCTGCTCTCTAGTGATTCAGCAACCAGTCCAGAAGTAGCTCATCCACATGTACACTTGGAGTGAGAAGATGGGATGGAGGATTAATTCAATATGACGTTCCAAGCTATGCTACCTCTGCTTATAAGCTCTGTGAGTGTTTCAGTCTGGTTGTCTGCTTCTGAGAATTTGAATCAGTGTGTTACTCACTAGCAAAAGCCATGGTGGGACTGACTGCTAAGGAGTTTTAATTTGCTAGTTGTTCTCCTGTACACAAAGGAATTTCACCTGCTGAAGTGAAACTGGCATAAGATCATAGCCTCATAATCGGTATTTATAGATTAGGACTGAGGTACAACAGTCTTAGGAAGTCACTGTGTTTAAAAAACAAAACCAACACAAACCAACCAACCAACCAACCCAGGGGATATATTGGCATTTATGCATTTTAAACAGCCTTAGTTTTGTTTTCAGGCCTATTCCACTACAGAAGTTTGAAAAAGCCATCGAAACAGGGACTCTTCTAGAAAGCCTCTTCCCCTGCTCTTAAAAGTAAAACAGAGTATGCTTGCTCCTAAGAGCAAGAATACAGGATGCCTATAGTCAATTCTGGATTTGGGGGAGCTGAGCATCTTCATTATTTTTATTAGCACTCTGTGATAACACTGAATTAATAATGTGAAAATACCAGCTCTGTCTCATAGTTATCCTTCTTGCTCACAAGAGAGATCTTGTTAAGGACAGGTGTTAACACCAATACAGAATTCTGCCATAACCAGTACGAATTTTGCCATGTTCTTGGTGAGCATTTGGCAGTACGGCAAAGAACATAAAGTGCAATGTTGCAAAGATGCGGTACTGTTTAGTTCTATATTGGGCCTCGAAAAGGTCAACCAGTATCTGTTAACTGGATGGCTGACCACTAAGAGGTTAAAAAGTCTGTGCTGGAAACTGTTTTTACTAGAGAATACAAAGTTAAGCTATAAATAAGCTTATGTGTGAGGCTTTTATAATGGCACTGCTTCATCACATTGTTTTGAAAAGTAGTTCTGACTGTTAAGGTTCTCACAGTTAGAAAATGATACCATGCCTAGAAATTGGGGGTGAGTAAAGGAGATAGAACACCATGAATCTAACTCTTAGCTTGTGGACCAGAGGTATGTTCTAGGCCACTTTACCATCATGAGTATATTCTGTTTTGTCCTGTGGCTCTGTCATGCTTTTTTTTTTTCATCCTCTGTTTCTTGTTTCTTCACCAGGTTCATCTGTAAGAACCAAAGTAAGTGTGTCTAAGCTCCAGGGCTCGCCTCACAACAATTCATAGAGCTGTTGGCAAGTGTAGGAAACTTTTGTATGGCTTAAGATGATGTAAATTTCTGCTGCTGTAGAAAGGCGTGATCTACCATTCCCCTCCATCACTGGTACAGCAGTAGCGTTTGCATTGTAATATATCACATGCAAGTTATTCTTTTGGCATGAGAACTAACGTGAACAAAAATAAAACTTTGCTGCTGTCTGTGAAGTTACAGATGCATCAATACTGACAGCAGGCAGAGAGTTGGAAACTCAGGCTGAAAAATAGGTTAGGACTAGCCCTTTTGGTGACAGAATTGTATTGGATATGGTAGTAATCTCTAACATAAAAAAGAAAAGACCTTTCTTTATTGTTAAGTCTGTGGACAGAGTACTTGCGGAGGAGGCTTGGAGAAATTAGGCCACTCTGTCTTTCACTTACTGAGTTTGTGGCAAAAATATTCATGTGTTGACATACTAATTTAAAGTAATGGTGTGACAGAGAACATTAAAAAGAATAATTATAATTCTGCAGTGCTATGGGTCTGATAGGGAAGAATTTTTTTTATTCTTCATGTCTGTGTCAATTTCTGTAGAAGTTGTTTTCCAGATTTTGCCTGCTGTGCAAGTTCAGTATTTGACTGCAAGCTTTTACTAGATGAACAATAAATTACGCTTTTCTTTTCACTGCACTTTATTGTTCATTTCCATGTGCTACTGAGTTGGTGCAACACAGCTATAGCAGGAATAACTAGTATTCAGTATTCTTGTTGGAATATGCTAATTCTGCAGGCTGAAACACTAGGAGTTTTAGAAAAGCCTAACATAAAGTAGCTATATGCTCTGTTGGTAAATACAACTAAAATTGTAAAGGTCATAGTACTTTGTTGTGGGAAGGATTGTAGACCTGGCTTTTCTGATGGGAAAATGATATTGATGTAGTCTAGTTTCTTTCAGGAAAACAATGTAGAAAATGTTAGACATGGTGATTGCAGAGAAGATGTTACTGCTGCCTCAATATGCTGACTTAGGGGAACATGTGTTCTCCGTAAAATGGGTTTAAACTGCTCAAGGCGAGCTTTCTTGTGCATAGGTCTTTAAACTAGACAGTGAATCATAGAATAGTTAGGGTTGGAAAGGACCTTAAGATCATCTAGTTTTAAGCCCCCCGCCATGGGCAGAAGTAAAACTTCAAGATAAGCTAATAGTTTATTGTGAAATACATCTGCACAGTAGACTTACATGGAGGCAGTCAAAAGATTTTACTTTGAAGTAAGTCAGACTGCTTTCAAAATATTGGGCATTTTTTGAAATTTCAAGCAACTCTTGTTCTTCCTGTAGCTGAGAAAACAGTATGTTTTTGAGTTGTACAGTATTCCAGGTGGGAAGGTCTCTAGTCCAAAGCCCTACTCAAAGCATGGTCAGTTCCGAGATCAGACTCGAATTCCAGTGTTCTACTTACTTTACTCTCAGTTTTTTTGCAGCTTATCATCATGGGCACAGTATTTCTGGTACATCAGATTGTGACAGAGCTCTGAAATAACTCTGCAAAAAGTTTCTCTGTCTTACATACAAGTGTGCCTGTCTTACTAAATAGTTCTCTAATTTGCATTTAAGACATTAAACTTTTTTAATGAAGTAGTACTGATTTCTGTCACTCTGTGTGTAAACAATGCAATATCCTGTTGCTAGTGTTTTATTTAAATGAAGAAAAAGTCTGATAAAATACATTGTCTTGAAAATCTAGCTGCCTTTTAGATAATGATTGTGCTGCAGGTCACTGCATGCAGAAGTGGGTTAATGCTTTTCAACATACGCTTCAGTCTCCTATGCTCTATGTGTATGCTTGTCATCTTTTGTCTTAGCTAACAATGCAGCATGCTGGTGGGTGATTAAGAATGATCTGCAATGCAGTATTTGTATAGTCTTCTCTTCCATGCATCAGTCAGGGTTTGATATACTGCTGTGCACACTTTAAGGCATCCAGTTCTTGTCCTGGTCAAGAGATCTCTTTCTAATTGTAAGAACAGAGCGAGCTTCAAAATGAGTTAAGATCTAAGAGATAACTGGGGTAGTAGATACTTCCTATGAACACTAGCAAAGTTAGAGTGAAGACCAACTGGCTATACATATAGGTTTTCTACATATATAACTACTTTCATTAACATTCTGACTTTTTGTATGCTTGCACAGAACCATTTTTCCTTACTAAATAAATACATTTTTCCTTACTAAATAAATAAATAAACGTTTCATCCCAAGTAAAAGCTCCTTTATACTGACACCCTTTATTCTTATATTAATACAGAAATACATGCATTGGTATTAAACATCTTTATAATGTTGTCTGCAATGAAGAGGCTGTATATAATCCAACTACGTTGTATGTTTGAAACAAAGCACATTTACTACATAAATCCTTTCATGTAAGAGTTTGCTGGGTTTGTTCATATAAGAAGGTATTGCAGTGTTTTTAATACCGCTTTTGTCAGGAAAAATTCAGTGCTTATGGTGCTTCATAATTTGTATATGTTCCTTTTAAGTACTGCCTAGTGAGTATTTGTAAATCCATACCCAAACAAACAAGGCATACAGCTGAGTACTTCATACTGCATTAATGTAGTGGCGTCTGTTAAATCTTGCAAAATTCTTAATGCTGTAACTACAGTGTTGATACCAAAACAGCTTCTTTTTTTTAAACGTGATATGTTCTGCCTTCCAAATTGTGCTTCATATTAATTACAAAATTGACCTTCAAGCACTCCAGTTGCTACTAAAAAATCAGTATGAGTTCAGGAGGTAGATTTACCCCTTGGATTTGCAGTAACAAAACTGGCTTGGTTCTCATTTCTAAGATGTTAATTATGTACCTGCTGATGTCATGGTCAGAAATACACCCCTGTTCTCAGGTAGTTTATTGCATTGTTGCTCTCTGGAAAAGCAGAGAAGGAAAAATAGGAAGTCTCTATGTGAGTTGAGTAAAAAGATACAGTTTAAAGATAGCAAATATGTTATTACTTCTTAGTGTAATCAACTTTAAATTCTACAAGGATGTCATTTTCAGATTAATTGAACATGCTTTACTTACGTGAACTATATTTTCACTAAGATATTTTCACTTTTGAGGCTATATACGTTAAGCATCTTATTTCCTTTCTTTGACAGGAAATTCTGGTGATTAAAGATCATGGCAACCATAGAGGAACTGGCCCATCAAATTATTGAACCGCAGATGGGAGAGGTACATAAATTTTTAAGTCCTGTTTGAGACACTGAATGATAAAATGTACAGGCTACTAAAAGTAGTCATATATGTAGAAAAATGTGATATGTAAAAGCCAGAATCACAAGAGAAAATAATTTTTAGTACACCCAAAGCTTCCAGACTCTCTACCAAGGAAGACAGTTATTAAAGTTATGTTGCAAATTCTTTTTTTGCCAAAGCTTGCCGCACAGAAATGGAGCTAAGGACAATCTGGCGGTGTTTCCAGGAAGTGGGTAGCTCTTCAGCTCTGCTTTTAGGGCCTCTGGTTGCATAATGCTCACTTTCAATTGCAAAATCCACAGTCAAGAGAGTTGTCAGCACCTAGCTTTTACTTTCCAATTAAACAATTGCTTCACTTGTAATTTTTGTTTTCACTAGTAAAGGTTTGCCATGCTCTTCACTGTATTTGTTTTTATAAGTCAAAACCAAGATTGAACTGTTGTTTCTACTAACTTCTGATTTTCATTTTCTGTAGTCTGTATGCTGCAGCCAGAGAACTTTGAGATGCACAAATAGTTTGGGAGTGTAGATAAGAGTATACATACTTATGTAGAAGGTTTCATCATAGCATAGCCTATTAAAATTAGCACTGCTTTAAATTAGATAGAAGCAGTGACATTTTTTTCTTTTAGCTTGAAATATCTCCCATTGGTTTCTTGTCTAGACATAGTCTTACTCCTCAAGTAATCTTAGTTCTTATCAGGCTTGATTTCAAATAGCAAGGTATGGAGGGGGAAGTATGGTTAATTCTGTTCTGTATAAATTCTTACAGATTTTATTGTTGTAGCATCTTGTCATGGTTTAAACCCAGCTGGCAACCCAGAACCACGCAGCCACTAGCTCGCTTCCCCCCCCCACCTTCCTCCCACCCGCTCCCGGAGGGATGGGGAGGAGAATCTAAAGTATGTAACTCCCACGGGTTGAGATAAGAGCAGTCCAGTAACTAAGGTATAACACAAATTACTAATGCTACCACTAATAATAATAATGATAAGGGGAATAACCAGGGAAAAGAATACAACCGCTCACCACCTGCTGGCAGGTACCCAGCCTGACCCAAGCAGTGATCTAGCCCTTCCAGGTAACTGCACCCAGTTTATATAGTGGGCATGAGGGGTTGTGGCATGGAGTACCCCTTTGGCTAGTTTAGGTCAAGTGTCCTGTCTCTGCGTCCTCCTGGCTTCCCCTCCTCCCTGGCAGAGCATGAGATTCAGAAAGTCCTTGGTCAAAGTAAACATGACTTAGCACAACTAAAAACATGGGTGTTATCAGTGTTGTTCCCAGGCTGAAAGTCAAAAACACAGCACTGCACCAGCTACTAAGAAGGAGAAAATGACTGCTACTGCTGAACCCAGGACACATCTGAGTTTTGCTAAGGCTGTATCAGAGGACATAAGTGATTTATGTGATGTACGGTCTGGTTTTTTTTTCTCTCATTTGTCCTCTTTGTAGGTGAGAATGGCATGTCTAGTGTAGTTTTGGTAATATAATTCCTTATGGATGTCTAAATAGGGGTGTATTTCCTGATTTATTTATTTATTTTAAATAACAGGCTAGTCAAAGCTAGCTAAAGTGTATGTTCCATTCAGAAAAGAGGATGGTGTATTGATGGTGTTTATTCTCTGGGAGGTTGTTTCTCAATTTCGTAATGTGATTCCATGAGATAATGAGCTGACTTAAGTATCTTTGTGGCAACAGAGGGAAGGTCCTTTTTCTGTTTCTTACCTTATTTCATTTTCACACCAAAAGCAAGCTAACCTGGCCAAAACAAGTGGAAGGTTTTTTCCTGGGTTAGGGCATTGAGTAGGTTCTGAGAAGGCTCTAAGGAATAGCAGAGCCCTTGAAAAGGACATGGTTGGTAGCCAGGGGAAGGCAGGGGAATAGATTGAGGGAGTGGAGGTACAGCACTACAGAGAGATGTTGTCTGTTTGTGTTCATGGGGAAACTTCAATCTTATGGTTTTTATAGATATTGTTCTGTCAGCAGTGTAGATTAGGATTCATCCTATAGCAAGATTTTACTGAGCCTGAGACCATCACATCTTATTTGGCAGCAGTGCAGGCAGCTTAAGCATTTTCCAGCCCTCACTTAGCCACTTACTCTCATGCTCTGCTAGTCTTGCTCATGTAAGCTCTGTGTGTCATTGTGTGGTAGACAAAACTGGGAGGAGAAAAAGAATTACAGGATAGTGGAAGAAAATCTTTTCCCTCCTAGTTGGGGTCAGTTGCCTTATCTAGTACAAGGTGCAGCCCAACCTGGCTCTTGCTTAGAAGGACTGAAAAGCATCACCAAGGGCAGTGCAAGGTGGGACTCTGTAAACCAGAGTTACTGTCAAAGGTGCATGCCATGTGTGAGTGCACTGCCTGAAAAGTGGAGTCAGCAAGGAAAGTGGGGGGCCTTCATGTAACAGCTTACATTGCCTGAAAAGTGGAGTCAGCAAGGAAAGTGGGGGGCCTTCATGTAACAGCTTACATTGCCTGAAAAGTGGAGTCCGCAAGGAAAGTGGGGGGCCTTCGTGTAACAGCTTACATTCCTACCAACCTGTGACCTACTGGCTGTAATTGCTTGGTGTTGTTCCTACTTAATGTAAGCATTAAAATAGTAGTTTAAGGCCTATGGAACTTCAGCAGTATTTTTGCTAGCAGTTGTAATTCTCTTGATTGTTGAAATGGTTTTAATTGAATTTATGGGAAAAATTCACATGAGCAGAGCATGCAAGGAAGAAGAAAAGTGTTTCCATTCTGAGGAGAATGGAAAGTGCTTCCGTGTCTCACTGACAATAATGGTCATAAATGTTCTTTGACACACGTCTTGGTTTCTTCATAATATTATTGTTTGTGAAACATTTTAAAACACAAACTTATCACAAACAATTTTATGACGATGTTCACAAACATTTGTTAATTTAGGGCTTTACGGCAAGAAAGCAGAACCTACTAAGGAAAGAATTTATAGCCTTGCCTGTATGGAGCATTGCACACTGTTTCTCTTTAATTCTGCCAACTGCTAATCATCTTTTGCCGAGTGTGAGATAATTCATATTTCTATATCAAGATCACATTCCTTGATTCAGGTAGGGAAGTTGCCTGCCAAGAGCCTGCAGCAATCTTCTTTCTTTAAACTGTCATTGGGTACCTTAAGTACCCAAAAGCAGTGTTTTGTTTCCGCAGGATTTGCCAGTAACAGGCAAAAGCCATGCATTTGTTGGAAGAGTCTGTATTACACATACAAACCACAATTTTTAGCAAATATTGTGGTTGTTCTTGTCAGTATTATTTTCAACTGCAGTAAAAACTCCCCGTATTCTGTTGTCCTGTATAGAAGTAAAACTGTCAGGCTGGTACTTTGTGGCATTGAAGAGCAGTTTTGCCTTACACACCATGTGTATGGTAACATTTTAAGGGAGCAGATGTAAAACAGTGTTCTGCAATATGTGCTTCTTTGCAAAGGAAAGATAAATTCACACAAAACTCCAATTGCCTGTAAATCACCTCATGTATATGTCATTTGAAAGGCTGATGCACAATTTTAATGCTTCGAAGTATCTTCCGAACTGTAAATTTTGCTGTATAATGAACACTTTTTCACCCTTTCCTTAAGCAAAGAAGTGGATGGATTGTTTGAATATGGAAAGTATTCATGCTCATGAAAAATAGGGTATTTTTAGAAAGCACTGTTTGAAGATGGCTTGGGCAGTAGTTTGACAAGCATTGATGGTGCTGGCAGCTTGAGTGATCCCTGCAGCAGCTTAATCCCACTCTCTCATTTGCTTTGATGAGTCTGCTTCTGAGCATTGTGGAGATCGGGATTGAAGGTTTCAGCTATGCTAAGAGTAGCCTCTGTCTGTCTGTTTGCTGGGCTGCTTTTTAACCTGAATCAGTGTCCTATTCCAGATCACTGAATGACTGACAACCAGTTTTACCTACCAAGCTGAAGGGATAGGAGCAAGTAGGTTGTAAGAGCTGAGACTGGTACCACAAGTAATGCCTTTTGGGGTGAAATGTCAAAATCAGCTTAGACTAATGTGAGCTTGTATTTCTGCTGCAAGGGGAAGTCTTACCCACCACTCTTTCCTCTTGTCATACTCACCTCCACTTGCATGCTCTTGACTGCGTTTTTCTGCTGGTGCTGGCATTTATTTACATGGTGGTATGGTTGCAAAATCAGGAAGCTGATCCAGAAGGAACAGAAAAGCTCTCAGTCTGTTATGGAACAGTACCCTTACTGTGATACAGGGAGACAATTGATAGTAATTTGAAGGGGCAACAGGTGGACAGGTGAAAAGGAGCATTTTTATGATGGTGTAAATGTTGGAAATTATTATTAATACAAAACTGTGGGACATTCCAGAGTTTTTGAACTGCAAAAAGCCTAGGGAGTCACTTGGGAATTTAGACAAAAATTTCAGTTTGAAGGTATCTGTAAGCTCAGTGAAGATAAGCTCCCTTTGTAGTACAAAAACTTTGGCCTTTCTGATCAAGCCTCTGCAAACAGCAGCTGTATTTCCTAACTTCTATTGAGAAATAATGTAATTATATACCCCATAATACCTTTGGCTATAGCATGTGAAGAATTTTTGAAATAGGTAAAACACTTCCACAAATAGTGTCTGAGAGTGCTCATACAGAGATTTAAGTTTGGTTTAAGATACACAGCTTGCCAGTTTAATGAATTTCATTTATGTTCTCTTAACTTTCTTGATAGTTCAGAAAAGCAGAACAGAAAAGGCCAGTTGCTGTGTTTCCACATCAGAAATTCTTTTGTCACTTTGAATAAGCCATTAAGGTAAAAGTATTTAATTGTAAATGTGGCAGAGCTGTGATGAAAGATATTGTGTCTCATGAACAGCAACAGTAATAAATATTCAATCTGATTGACTTACATGGACTTGTCAACAGTGAATTATTTTACTTAACATGTTTCTAAATTTCAAATTGGAAGGTATTTCAAAATGGGTTTAAACAGTGAAATAAACAGAATTTTCAAACTAGCAACATTAAGCTGTTAAATTAGATTGCAATCATTTGCATACCTTCTACAGTAAGAGTGTCAGAGTTTCCATAGCCTTGTACAGAGTAACCAGAAGTTGGTGGAACCTGAAGGTTTCAACCATTAGTGTATCATCCTGAAGTCAGTGTGTATGTTGTCAATCCATTCTGTTTGTTTCTTCTTTCTAGATTGCCCATTCCCTGGAAGCAGTTTCACAAACACTAATGGATGGGACACCACAACGAATACAGATTGTCCCTGCAGATTCAGGCCTCTCTTTACCACAGCGTATACAGGTATGCTTCTTCTGATACATTTTAAAAGCAGATAGGAACTATTTACCAGTTTCCACATATGGTTCTTTTTTCGTTTGCATCATATTATTTGCTTTAATGTGGATACTCAGCCCTGGTGCCAGAGATCATTTTTACAGAAACAGGAATAAAACATCACTCCAGTGCCACCCCCACCTTTTTATTATTTTTTTATCCTAAGAATGTTAAGGTTACAAAAAATTACAATCACTAAACAGAAAAATACTTTTTCCAGAGGGCCACGATGATGATCAGGGGACTGGAGCACCTCCCATATGAAGATGGGCTGAGAAAGTTGGGGCTGTTCAGCCTGGAGAAGAGAAGGCTGCATGGAGACCTCATAGCAGCCTTCCAGTATCTCAAGGGGGCCTATAGGGATGCTGGGGAGGGACTCTTCATTAGGGACTGTAGTGATAGGACAAGGGGTAATGGGTTAAAACTTAAACAGGGGAAGTTTAGATTGGCTACAAGGAGGAAATTCTTTCCTGTTAGGGTGGTGAGGTGGAATAGGTTGCCCAGGGAGGTTGTGAATGCTTCATCCCTGGCAGTGTTCAAGGCCAGGCTGGACGAGACCTTGGGTAATATGGTTTAGAGCGAGGTGTCCCTGCCCATGGCAGGGGGGTTGGAGCTTGATGATCTTAAGGTCCTTTCCAACCCTAACTATTCTATGATTCTGTAATGCTGTAAAAGCTACAGTACCTGAGTTGTTGGAACTTTTCTACATTTTAGAGCAGGGAGGGAGGGAAATACTGCATTGTATCACTGATGCAAGTGATGAAAAAGTGCAAGGGAACCTAATGGTCTTAGGAACATATGGGTTTTTGGTTGTCCCAGCCAACGTTACATGTCCCGGTATGCTGATTTATAGCCTGGCCAGGTAATGATCTCCAGTTCAAGCGAGGGTATGATGTTTTTGTCAGTGTAGGTAGTTAAAACAACATAGATATGTGTGTATGGAGATTAGGAGGATCTGAGGAGTTGAATTTTGTATTCTTATCCCTTGAAAGTCAGTGCAAGTCCTTGCAAACATTTTATTTTTAAATTTCATTCTAGAGAAAAGTATCAACTGCAGAATAAAATTTAAAAAGTATTCTTAGATACCTCTTGTTGCATACAAAACTACTAATTTCATCAGGGTCTGTAGTAATAGGACAAGGAGTAATGGTTTTAAACTTAAGCAGGGGAACTCTAGATTGGATATAAGGAGGAAGTTCTTTACTGTGAGGTTGGTGAGGCACTGGAATGGGTTGCCCAAGGAAGCTGTGAATGCTCCATTGCTGGTAGTGTTCAAGGCCAGGTTGGACAGAGCCTTGGGTGTCATAGTCTAGTGTGAGGCATCCCTGCCCATGGCAGGGGGTTGGAACCAGATGATCTTAAGGTCCTTTCCAATCTGAAACATTCTATGGTTTAAAGTGAGCCAACTGCTAGTATAATCTTGGCTGCTTTTATTTTTGCTGGCTTCACTCTCCTGCATTTTCCACTGCTTTTTTTCTTCTTTTCAGTGCACTGCATTCAAGCTTTCAACCTTCCAAAACTCTTCACAACTGCCTTCATACCTGATGTACCTGTGCTGTAGTCGTTGTACTGGTCCTATCTATCCATCCAGTAGATCTTTATTCTTTCAGCTATCTCTGCTCCTCTTCTATGTTTGGTGTACAGCTGTACCTTTTGCTAACTAATTTATGTTAAATCAGTTGACCACCATCTTTGGTTTTCATTATCAATACCTGTATGCTATAATGACCCTGTGGTGTGAAGCCATTTAATGTAATTTCAGCATCAGGGTCTGAGTGTGGGATGACAACATAAAAAACCCATGAGCCTTTATTGTTGAACAGCAGGACAGTTTTGTTGGTTCAAAGCCAGTGGCAGACTTCTAACCCTTCTGTGTCAGCTTTTTTGTGCAGGGAGAATTACTTTGGTTAGGCACTGTAGTTACTGCAAATATGATGAACACAAAGAATTATATTTCTAGGGACAGGAACCTTTATATGGTTTTTAATTGTCTCATGTAGCTGGAAGATCACTTGTTTCTAACCCAGCCGCTTTGTCCCTTGTCTATTTTCACCACGCTCTGTTTTTACTTCAAAATGGGTAGTGCTTTGGGGCTGTGGTTGTCTCTTGATATATGTGGAACAGCTCTCAGTCAAATGCCATCCTTCCTGTAATAGGCCGCTACAAATACGTCACCAACATCCATTATAATAAATTAGATATGAGGTAGAACTTACTAGTGAAAACTTCCCTCAAAGCACAACTTCCGTAAAGAGTGAAGTAGTTTGTAGGCTTGTGTACAAATATATTTCAGTGAAATGTTCATAATAAATATTAAATTGAATAATTTTGAGTTTATATGTTCATTCAATATTTTTTCCTTTATTTTATTACTGTTAAAGGCACATAAATGATTATCTGAAATCTTGAAATACAAAATCCTCAGTAAAATGTTTTAATGTGTTCCATTTATCAGCCATTCTAGGGAACGTAAACATTTCTCTAGGATAGAAGTTGAATGTCACATTTGCTGTTAAGCAGACATTCCTGTTCAAAACTGGCTCTATCATCAACAGGTGAATTAGTGCTCTGTGTTCAGACACTTTCTTTTTTCTAACACAGAATTTTTGAGGTATTTAATTCATTGAATTATGTTCAAATGGAAGTCAAGACTTGTTAATGGACAAGGCTTAAAGCAGTAAAGCAGAATACTATCCTCCAGCATGAGCTACTGGGAAGGAGACAAATAACTGTTACAGCTGAAGCCAGGACAGGTGATTATATGAAATACACAGGGAAGTAAATTTTTAAGGAGACCGTCCTGCATTAAGATATTCCCATTTTATAACGTTATCCCTTTAGCGATAGTGAGTTTCAGATTATTAAGAAACATAATGAGTTGTTCACTGAGCCCTGATGGGTTCCCTTGAGGAGATAAGTGGTTTTCTTTTTCCCTTTGATTATCTTTTTTTTCTCTTATCTCAGCATTTAGGTATTGCAAGTTGTTATGCTTTGGTGAACTGTTCCACTTTTCAGAGTCCCGTTGTGATTTAGCTGTTTTTTTGCAGGTATATGGCTGGAAGAGGCCAGCTGCAGACAGATTGTGCTTAATTGTTTAAACCGGTCTCACTTGTATCTGTCAGTTGTCAAGTGCTTGGCAGTTGTAAAAATCATTTATACAGTTTGAATAGCTCTGTCTACATACTAGCATAACACTATACCTACTATATCATGTAGTGAAAGCTACTCCTAGAGTTCCAGAAAGCCATTTGAAGAATCAGAACACTATTTGTTAAATAGGAGTTGCAATGACTTGTGTGAAGTAGCAGCGGTTCTACTTAATGTCCTGCTGTATTTGACTCCAAATACATATTGGTTTTAAATTACGGAGCTGGACTGCGCAAGGAAAAAAGATAGTTTAGCATATATATGCAAAAAATAATTTGAAATTTAGTTCAAATTTGTAAAATTTGTACCTTCATTGTTTGGGGCATGCTGGTTTTCTACCTAGTTTTATGCTGTACTTTCTATAAACATAACTAGATCAAGTATATGCCTTTTTTGATATACACATAGTTGCACTTGTAAGTATTGGTAGGGAGACAGATTTTAGATATTAGTGTCTTTCAAAGATCAGGTTTGGAAATTCAGGAAAAAGCACAATATTCTGTATTCGGCTTTTGTACACGTCTGCACCCTGTTAAGGATAACATGCACTAGAGCTCTCCTAATCCACATAAAGCAAATGTGTTTGGGGAGAAGAAGGGAACATCAGGTGCTTTGAAAATAGCCAAAAGTAACACTGCAAATGAAGTAAAACTGAATGGAAGAAGGAAGTTAAGCAAAGAAGGGAATTAAAAGGGCAAGGAAGCTTGCTTTCTAACGAATACAGAACCAACATAAAGGAATTGAAAGGAGAAATAAGGGACTGCTGTAGTCATTGGGGGTCCTGGACATGTGCGTATCTGGAAAAAAAATGAATGGAAAACCCTGTGTTAATCATGTTGATAGCTATTGTGGGGGGTTTGCATTGTCTTCCCACCTTACACCCAAAATCTCATAATCATTTACGTTCTCTCCTAACTTTAGCACCTGGAATTCTGTCATCTTACCTACAGTTTTCTCTTAAATAGGGTTTTAATTGTTTTGCAGAGAAAAAAAAGAAATTTGATCCATTAAAATGTTAATAGCAAAAGGCTATCTGAAGGAAACACAGTTTGAAACTCATAATTTCATCCATAATAAGGCCCATATAAATGTTATGGATGGCGAGATGGGCATAAATGTTTGGCAATAGGTAAAAATAAAAAGAAGCTATTTTATTGATCTGTAATTGAAAAAATAGGTTGTAGGAAACAGACTTGGTAGGATGATTCTGCTTAGTATTCAGAATAAACCAGGCAGTTTTCCATATAGGCGTTTTGATGGAGAAAGGCAGGAAGAGACTAAAAGTGAGATTTATAATGGAAGATGTAACTAATCTTAATTATTTTCTCTGAGGATTATAATCTTCTGACAAAGTTGGCAAAAAAATGGGGTTTAGTGGAGGATTATTTAATAATGTTTTGCTGTGTTTGTGCTTGAAAATAGGTATAAAATGGAAAAATACAGTCTGTTGGTCTGTTTCTGCTTATGAAATGTAACATGAAAATAAGTTATTCCTTAAAAAGAAAAAGGGACAAGGAGAGAGATTCTGATTTACTTATTTTATTTAGGAATATATATGCAGAAAAAGAAAAGCCCTCAGATATTAAGCCTAAAATGTACATACAGATGCAACAACGTTATTGCTTTTCTTGCTGTTTGATGCTTACTTTTTTCACTTGGAAGTCTACATTTGTATTTTTAAGTTTTTGTTAAGCAGCGAAACCTGGGAGGTGCTAAATACTTTACGTGGTGTGATGCAGTGAATTCAAGAGTTAAGATCTCTCTCAACCTGGTGGGTCCAAGGGCTGAGCTGCAGATGTAGCTTGAATTCTGGATGCTGGATTCATCAAGGGTTTCAGCAGTGTTGTAAAAGCACGGTCCAGTTGTGAAACTTGAGTATGAACTCAGATTTTGACTTCAGATACCCTTGATTGAAATGTGTTTCCAATATAGTGAAAATCTAAGGTTTCACCCGAGTTTACTTCACTCTTGTGTGACAGAGGGGAAGACAATCCTGCTTCACAGATGTTAAAGGCAAAATTCCTGTTTTCTTCAAGTGCCCAGGTGAACTTAAGTTACCATCACAATTTGAGATAAATGTATTATTAGATTGTCACAGATCAGCAGACGGGCCAGAAGATTCAGATTGTTACAGCACTTGATCAGAGCGCACCAGGCAAGCAGTTCATCTTAACAAATCATGATGGCTCTACCCCAAGCAAGGTGATCCTTGCCAGACAAGATTCCACTCCAAGAAAAGTTATCCTGGCAACTCCAGATGCTGCAGGTGTCAACCAACTGTTTCTTGCATCCCCTGATATATCTGCACAACACATCCAGGTAGATGATCCACTTTATTTCCTCATTTTGGTTCAAATGGGATGAGAAGAGATGGTTCATTTCCAAATATGTCTTGTCTGGGTTCTCCTTTTTCTTTTCTTTTTTTTTTAATGCTGTACTTTTACCTTGCACAAGGCTTCAGTGTGGATAGTTAGAAATTATGAAGAAAAGTGATTTCTTTTTGCAAATTTATTGCTTTTAAAATTTATACCCTGGCTCGTGACACTGGAAAGAGTACTGTTATTTTTACTGTGATTTCCAGCTCCTGCCATACCAGCGGCCCTTTATTTCTGCTTCATTGACTGTCCATCTGTTTTTGTGTATTGTTGAAAAACATACTCTTTTCTCCATTATCACTTAACATTTCATTCCGCTTGTTTTCCTTTCCATATGCTGTTGTAGCTACTGTTCAGCTGTGTGGATTGTACTCCAGGGTAGTTTCTCAAGGAGACTGTGTAGTAGGGAAGAACCTTACTCAGTTGGGAGGGGAAAATAACACTAAAGATTTGCAGTTTACTAATGCGAGTTTGTAACTGCGTAAGCTGGTCCCCAGTGCACGTGACTCGCATGCATGTTCTGTATGTTGCTTCCTTAGTCCTCGTCTCCATCTTCCGTATGAATATGCAGAGACAGCTTGGGAGAGTTGAGCTTCTTCAGCATAGTGTGAGGTGTCCCTGCCCAAGGCAGGGGGGTTGGAACTAAATGATCTTAAGGTCCTTTCCAACCTAAAACATTCTATGATTCTGTGATTGTATGAATGAAGTTACTGCACTCCAGCTAAAGCACGGTTATTGCATATTGTTTACCCATGTATATTTATGCTGTTGTTAAACTATGTCAGTGTGGTAGGCCAGGCAACACTGGGATAGCTACAGTCCATTTCAACCACTATCTCAGACTGAAACGATGGCCAGAAACAATTGCCTAAGGGAAAAATACTGAATACTGGACAAGTAAAAGGTTCTTCTGAACATACCCTTTCATTTCCATTAGCCAGTGATTTAGAGCAACATCCTGGTTTGGGAATTACAGTGAGACCATCATATTTGATGGCTGTCAGTAGAGTTTAACAACTTTTTTTGTTATTTATACAGACCATATATGCTTTGGTCTGTGTAATATCCTTCAGTATAATTGTATGCTATGCAAACAATACTATACCTGATCTTCTGAGAGAAGTATTCAGTTAGGTCTCTATTTCACTGTAAGAGACAGCTCTAAAGGATCATACTGTTTTTATAAATCAGTATATCCTCTACCAAGTAATCTCTTCAACTGAAGACCCCACACCTATTTAGTTTGCACTCTTCTGGGAGCCAGTCCATTGTTCTGATTCACTGCCCACATATTGCTTAAGCTTAACACATCTTTGTATTATATATTACATTGTTTTGTATTTTAAACTTGCAGATCTTTGCAAATGGACATCCAAAATACTTCCTGCAAAGAATTTGATTGTTAAGAATAGGGCAGCGGTAGCAAAAGCCAGTCACATTGAGAGGCATTTAAGCATTTTGAGTACTGTTTTACACTTTGTATTTTAGGTAAACCTCAACAAAAGTTTAAACCAGTGGTATATGATTTAAAGTAATCCATATAAAAAAGAATTTTCAAAGACTTTAAGAGATTAAAAGTGTGCCACACTGATTTAAAAAGCAAAATTCAGGAATGGAGAAGTCTGGACTAAAAATGGAAAGCTGTGGTTCTGGTTGTACATTTTGGACAAAATAGGTTAGTTTGAGAGGCATCAGGGTATGCTGTCTCTTCAGTTAGATTGCTCTATTGTCAGCTAATACGTATGGGTAGAGATTTCTTTTTTTCCACTTTTTTCCACTATTTTGTCAAATACAGATTACCATTCATTTGTTGTTAAGGTGCATCCTCATTGGGATCTTTCATATTTTCTCCCCTAAATGAATTTTTCATTTACAATTTCACCTTTGTTGTTCTGTAGCCTTCACTTGAAATAGCCATTTATTTGTTCTGAAAAAAGCCCTCTCATTTATTGCATCTTACCTTTACATTGACTCATTTGGGAAGGCCTTTTCTCCCATCATCTACTTTACCTTCAATGGTTCTTCTTCATCTTACTAATCAATTTTTATTCTTCATGTTCAAGGTCATTTGATGAGTTCTCAGAGTCTGGGGTTTTTATCTCATCATGGGTCCAACTCTGTAGCACTTCCTTACATGGAACGTTCCATTTCAGTGCAGATTTCATTTATGGAAGGACTTAGAATTTGTTTATATGTGTTTTATTTAACATCGTGAAAATACATAATGTTAATAATAGCAATTAGAAAGCAGTGAAAGGTTAATATTCTTTTAACTCATTGATACTGTTTTTCTTAAAAAGATGCTATATAAAAGCAAACTAAATAGATGAATCTCTGAGACAGTATTGTTAACAAAGGCTAACTAGAAAGAAGTATGCTTGTGAAATGTTCCATTGTATATCACCTGTAATATCTTCCAAACTTCCTTAAAAAATTCTCTCTCATAAGGTAGGGTCTTTTCTCTTTTGGCAAGTTAGCTTTCTTGTCATCAGAGGTCCTGTTTTGAATATGCAAAGCAAGGATGACAGAATCTGACTTCTCGTTAAGACACAGCAGAAGTTAGAAACTCTTCAAACTTATGAACTATCATCTCTTTTTAATGGCAAAAATAATTTTTCCTTTTCTGCTTTACATAATTGTCAAGAAGATTTTTGGTTGTTACTCATTATATGGTGTGTTCCTTTTTCAAATTGAATTTCTGATGTGCTTTATGTTGCAGTGGGATAGGGGTTTTAAAGATAAAATGGAAGGCTATAGTGCCTACTCCCTGTAGTGCTGGGGCTCTAATATTATGTGCTTTATGAAGCTTTACAGGTACCAGAGATAAAGGAATGAATGAGAAAACGGAACTGTAATCATGTCAAACTGTTACTGAAAGCCTAACTATAGACCACTTGACATTTAATGGTAGTGTCCAGAGTACATTTTCTGTAGATCCACCATTTATGTGTATTATAAAAAAAAGAGTTAGTAAACCTGAATGTAGATATCAGAGCCTTTACAAGGGATTTCTTTTGTTCCATCTGTGTAATTCTTCAGTCTCTTTTGTACTATGAACAAGTCATTAGGATATAAATAGAAAATTGAACAAAAGCTAAGAGTACACAGATGCTGAGTGTTTTTCAAAATGTCAGCCCATTTTGCAGGTGTAATTATTTAGACAAATGAAATCTTGAAATCTGAAGTATTACAAGTAAGACTCTCGTTCCATCCTGAAAAGGAGCACAGTGGCATGGCAGGTTGCTTCTTGCTGTCTATGAAGACTGTAAAATGTAGCCAGGAAAGCCTTATACTTTTTACGTTGTCCCCTGTCTTAGAGCAGAAACCAGAAGCATGAGATATATTGTAATCTTTCTCAATGGTAAGAAAAAATGAAACACTTTCACGCTTTTTTCCAGATTTTAACAGACAACTCCCCCAGTGAACAGGGCCTAAATAAAGTGTTTGATCTGTGTGTTGTATGTGGAGACAAGGCATCAGGTATTTACGTTTTCTTTCCTTTTTGTTTTTTATTTTACTGTGGTACAATTTCCTAAAAGCAATCTAGAATTCCTTGGAAGCTGTATAACAGTTTGCATACATTTATCTCTCTGTGTGCACAAACAGAATGGATCACTATTCCTTCAGTGAAGAATTGTACTGAAGAGAGCTCTGGTGGTGTCCATGGGTGGGATTAATCATTGCTTTACATCATAAATGTAATGTTTTATACCAGATAATTTTTGCCTTTTTTTTTATTTAGTCTGGTGCGGTTTATTTTCTATTATAGAAATTTGGCTGATAAAATTACTTAACAATGTTGAGATTTTTCTTCCTTAAAAATAAGTTCATGCAGTGAACTTTGTTACTGTTGACAGGTTCTCTTAAAATCTATGAGAAACCTGTTCACTATTTTAAATACGAAACCAGTAGGCAAGGAAGACTTTGCAATTACATGAAACCAAAAAGCTGCTGTGAGATTTTTTGCAGGACAGTTGGTTATTTGAAGAACCACGATTACAACTGTAAAAATACATCTTAATTCCAGTAGAAAATAAGCTTAAGAATGCTATATTCATATGTTGCCAAAGTAGTGTGCTAAGTTAAGAATAGTGTTTTATGCACTGCATTTTCTGTAATGATATTAAGAGACTGAAAAGAAATAGAGTGGGAGCAGCACACTGGAGAGCTGTCTTCCACATTCCCTTTACATGTGTGCCTGCCCTCGGGTGTTCCAGATCTTTCCAAGTTGGAATTACCCAGAGAATGTCTTTTCTTTATTAAAAGAAATAGAGAGGGCTGTGCATGGTCTACCTGAAGGCTCCTTTTCCTTTGCACTTTCTTTGTTGCAGAAGATAATGGGGTCTAAGAGAGATGAGACATTTAACTTTGCTCTTTACTTACTTAGCTAAAATTAGTCTAAGTGGGGAAACGGTTGTTCCATTAGAAGATTCATGCGATTTAACAGTGCAGTCTCTTTGATGGACCTCCAGTAATATCAAAATAGGACAAGTGCAGTTAAATGCTCCTTTTTGGAAGTGATGGGAATAAGGTCTGTAGAGATGAGGGGCCAGAGGGAAGAAGTTCGTAATGTTGTCTGTCATCATGAGAAGCAGTGGGATGGGAAGGGAACTTCCTAGACAATAAAACCAATTAAGAATTTCCTACTGCAGCAAAGTCTAGCATTCAACATGCTTTATAAAATGTCCATCTTAATGGTGTGTTAATATAATTGTGATAAAGGAGTCAGAAAGCCTGTTAAGAGTTCTAGAAACTTCAGGCAGGTGAGATTGATGTACCTAAAAAAAGTTTGCGGGGAGCGAGAAAAAAATCTAAAGATACATTTTCCCTTAAATGAGTTTGTATGTGAGATTTATTTCTGTAATGTGCCTTACTTAGTTCCAGCAGCAGCCATAATGTCTGTGCAGTGTATATTTTGGGTGCTTGTCAGGGATCTTCAGGCTTAGAATACTTCTTTTCTTCGGGATCATTGCATTAAAATTGTTGGAATTGCCAAGTGTGCCTTAGTCAAAACCAGTGCTTTTTGGTAATACTTGTATTTTGTGCTCCAGCAGAGTGAAAATTATTTGCTGCTGAAAATATTTTTTTAAACTTGACTTTTTTTCTTCAGTGCATCCTACAATTTTTATTGAATTTAATGTATTTTTTTATTGTATTGAATTTGTTTACACATAAATTTATTGTACACGTACGTAAATTTATATGTACCCATACAATTTATTGTATTGAATTTATTTGTAATTTTTTATTGTATTGAATGTATTGAATATTGAAAAATCCACAGAAGAACTGATTAAAACCAAGTAATCTAGCTATTTCAGATACTTCTTTCATTGAAGTTCTACTGAAAGAGCTAAAAATATACCATTCTCCTGTTCGGAAAATGAAAGAGGAAAGTAGAGCTTTGAAGTGATTACCTACTGCTGTCAAACGCTGTTTGCACTTTCCATGGTTCCACTAGATTTAATGCATACAATTTTGATAGCTGAATTGGTAATGAGGAGGAACAGAGCTTGGCTGTAGGGTCATACAAAAAGAAATTGCTAAAGAATGTATAATTTAAGAGTTTCTTCTGTGTTCTTACTATGCAGTTTTCTTACCTCTTAATGCTGCTGTCAACACATTCGGCAAGAATGTAATAAGCAACTTGTCTATTTGTAAAATCTGTCTTAAGTGCGCTGAACTAGAACAATGGTTCACTTGCTTTTTAACATAGTCTTACAGCCACAATATACATTAAGATCTGTAACCCATGGAGAGAAAAAATGTGAACTTTTTTCTGCATAAAAGAGCAAATACTTCTGTTTTAATAAATACAAACTAAACAAAATTAACATTACAGTATAAAATTAATGTTGTGATTTATGTTGTTCTGTAACCAGGGCGTCACTATGGAGCAGTAACTTGTGAGGGGTGCAAGGGATTCTTTAAAAGGAGCATACGGAAGAATTTAGTTTATTCATGCCGAGGAGCGAAAAACTGTGTCATTAACAAACGCCACCGAAATCGATGTCAGTACTGTAGGCTGCAGAGATGCATCGCGTTTGGGATGAAACAAGATTGTAAGTGTGGGTTAATGTAAATTATTTTAGCTGGCAGCTATGTTAAAGTTTGTGCTGTATTAATGTAAATTGTTGTCTTGTTCTTCTACCTTCTTGTCACCTTTTCCACAGCTGAGATTACTTGCAATTGCTGTTAACTTTCAGCAAAGTTCTACAGAGACAGTTGCTCACAAGGCAGAGATCCATAGTGATCCAGAGTTCACTTCCTGCCGATTCCTTTAGATTTCAAGTTTCTTTTTAGATTTCCATACATTGGATATAGTGATACTGCAATACCACAGCAGTATCACAATGCTAAATACACAGAAAATCAAGCAACTCACAAATTGTTTGAATACTAGCAAACTGTTAATAAACAGACAGTATTAGTCTTGTGGTCTGCTCTATGTCATCCAGCTCATTTTTGCTGACCCTCTTGAACCTCTGTGGGCATCCTCTCCTTACAGCCCTGCTTCTGTCAGCAGAAACCAGGAAATGTTTTCCAGCACAGAGGAAATGAATTCAGAAAAGATGGAAAAGCTGGAACAGTGAAAATGGATCTTTGCCTTTTTACCCTCTAGTTCAGCTGGCAGTATTTTGCGCCTCCACAGAAGACTTTTCAAGCAGAACAAAATCGCTGGGGTTGGGGATGAGAAGGCAGGGAAAGGATCTCTGTGTCATGGGGGAGTACCAAGCGGAGGAGAGGATTGTTCTGGGATAAGAAGTCTCATTCTTGGATGGAGTGGGGAGAGGAAGAAAAACTCAGCACCACCTGAGTACTGTAGGTACTCCCTCAGTGGAGTTATTTGTCCCTTGAAGTCTTAGCTCGTTGTCAGCAAGCTCAGATCCAGCTAGAGAGCACAGGGTTAGCAAAGGTAAATAAAACTTTGGCCTCCAGCTCCCAGCCTTTCAAAGCATGTTAGTGGGTTACAAGCTAGCTTTAATGGTATTGTCAATACTTGATGATGTTATGACATTTGGGTTTATGATACTTACCAGTGTAAAAATTCAGTTAGCATCACAGTCTACTGCTAACTTGAAAGCTCTTAAAATTTTCTCTTTTGTTGCACATTTTCCAAATCTGCATAATTGAAGAAAAGAAGTCAGGTTTTTTCCTATTTGCCTTTGTGTTTTAAAATAATGGTCATTCAGGATTCTCTTTATAGGCTCAAATAGCTTCTATGTGCAGTGTGATATTAAAGAGGCTGTGATAGCCAGTAGCCAGTGCTTATCAGGCTGGTGAACTGGTGCATACTTTAAACTACATACAGGTCTGGTTTGTAACTCTCTTTCGGGATCTTATTCCAATCTATAGAATAACTTGCAACACTTTAAAAATGTGGAAGAACAACTTACTGCATATTTTTAAAATAACAGTACTGTGTAAATTACCTTTTAAAAATTTAAGTTTTACAGTAATGATGCTGTTAGCTTATTTTGCCAGAAGTTAGGTTTTCCTTTTAGACTGTTGAAGTTTTCCTATTTTTGGCTTTATTCTGTACACCTAGAGAGTTCCTCGTAGTGTGTAATATTGTAAGTTTCATTTTGATGTTCTCTAATCTATTCAAAGCAGAGTGATGTATCTGTAGACTAAAGCCCAGATTAATTCCAGCTAGTTTCACTGGGCAATTCAAACTGAAAGTCTGCTGCTTTATCCGAAGTCAGTGATTGTGAGTCAGGATGTTGCCCAGATCGTACGTGGTCTGAACTGAACTTTGTCAGGTTCCTTTTCCCTCTGTACTGTCCAAATTCCTAACTTGAGAAGCATCTTTAAGTGTATCAAGTTATGTGGGTTCAACTCAGACCCACAATCCATGGATAAACAGTGCCATGAATCCCCTACAAATGTACTGAGACCATGGGATAGTGAAATTGAGGGAAGGAAAAGCTGTAAGCCTCCACTTAAAATCCAAATTAAAAATAAGGTATAAGGGGATTTCTTGCTTTACTGGAACTTGAAAAATGTAGTGTCTATATGTTTTGTCTCAGACTTTGACTACGATGTCATTTCATTAAGAACAAATCAAATTCAGGTTATATTTTTAGGCAAGTTGTTAGCTTACTGGTTATAGGAACTTTTTAAAGTTATTTTGAGAATCATTATTAAAATTGCAGATCAAATACAGAGAGGAAAAGGGGATTATTTCTTAGTCTGTAATTTGGGATGTGACTTAATAGTTGCATATTTTTTTTTATTAGCTGTGCAGTGTGAGAGGAAACCTATTGAAGTGTCAAGAGAAAAATCTTCAAACTGTGCAGCTTCTACAGAAAAGATCTACATTCGGAAAGATCTTCGTAGTCCATTAGCAGCAACTCCAACTTTTATAACAGACAATGAAACAGCAAGGTATGTACATTCTACTCAGAAGCAGCCATCTCTCTTTCCCGAAAGAGGAAAAACTACCATGAAATGAATCAGAATTAAAATGTTTGCTGTTTTCTGTCAGATCAACAGGTCTGCTGGAATCAGGGATGTTGGTTAACATTCATCAGTCTGCAGTAAAATCTGAGCCTACTGTAATGATGACTCCAGAAAAGGTATCTGATGATATGACTGTAGGGTGTTCTGTTTTATTATTGTAGTGGATGGGAACCTAGCTTGGAGTTGATTCCCACTCATGACCGAGAGACACAACAAAGTATGTTTTTGACTGAGTATTTGATAAAGTGTATATATTTGTGTTCATTATGGCTATTTATTGGAAAGAGACAGGAAAACAGAAGGGTGCAGGTGTTCTCTGACCTTCATACTTGGCTGCACCAGGGTGCCTGGCCAGTGCTCTCATTGTGGACAACAGTGAGATCATGAGAAACTGCATGGCCCCACAAGTAAACAATTACAGATCTAGCATAAAGCTGATTGTTTTTCTAAAGGTGTAAGAGTGGGACTCTCTTGTAGCTGAATCCGAAGCCTCATCTATGGGTGGACACACCACATAGGAGTTTTCCCAGTTATCTGGAACTCCTGGCATTAGCTGCAACAGGCCTTCCCAGCTTGAAGCATGGGCCTGGATGATGATACGGTGGTAATTGGTGATGTATTTTGTCTTAATCACTGTTCTCTCTATGTAGTAGTTATTTGGTGCATTGCTAATTTTCCTCTTTGCTGTACATATATATATATCTGATTTGCTTTATTGTGCCTGTTTACTGTAACTATAGATATATGCCTGATTCGTGTTGGTATGCTTGTTTGCGTTAGTGTACTTTTTAATAAACTGTGTGTGTTACATGGCTAGTGTGGGATCATTTGGTTGAGTACCATGCCTGTTCGTGGAACAGTTGTGCTTCTGTTTTGTTAAATTCATGTTTAGAACACTCCTTTACAAGATGAGCCAGTGTTGTAAATGATTTCTCTTCTGAAGAATGCTTCTCATATAGAACGCCTCATATAGAAAAACATACTGTCATATAGAAGAATTCTGTTCTCATCTAGAAGAATGCCTCCCATAGTAAAAATACTAAAAACTCTGCAAAGTAAATGCCTTCCTCCACCTTTTTAGAGAGCTTTAAAGGCTGCATTATTTTATTCTGTAATGGGAAGTGTCCTGACACTTGGGTATTTCTTTCATAGCAATGAAATGAGGTGTTTGCAAAATCTCACACAGAATTATCTATCACAGTGCATTTCATAAATGCTATTAGGTTTTTTCCTACAAATAACTAATTATTTGTAAAGCTAATAAGAGCTATCTCAGGAATAATTTTATTTCCAAGCTGGTTTTCCTTTGTTTCCATTTTGTTGCACTTACTGATCCCCTAAAGCCATGGAGTAACTCGCCTACGCATGCGCAGTAGGAAGCTCGTATTTTTGTAGCCGATATTAAATTGTTTTCCTGTGTTTTGCATCACTTGCTCTGTCTGCAAAGGACCCCATCAAAAGTTGTTTATTCCATTTCACTTTTCTGGCTCTGTCAGTAGAATATGACAGTGCAAGCTAAATAACATGTAGCATGCTGATCATTCTTTGTCATGACAAATGCATGATTACTTGTCTGTAATCATGCATTTTTCCTATATATGTTTTTTGTGGGGCATGGTGGGAGACATGTCTCTGAGCTGCTGCTCAGTACTGAATCACTTTGCTCCCTTGCAGTTAAATAAATACATAAAACCCCTAAAGGCTACAACAGAATTCTTTTTCTGCTTGCTTTTAAAGGGGACTTTTTATCTATTTCTTCTTTTTAAACATTCTTCTACCCTATTGCTACTGACTCATTTACACAAGGAAGGAAGATAAAAATATAATCTAGTGTGAACCCAAGACAACTCTTTATAGTCCGGTGGCTGACGACTGTGGAGATCATAACTTCTCATTCTGCATTTGCTTACTATTTGTAGCATTCTTTCTGCAATTACTAGACAGTTATTGCTTGTAAAAGTAAATGTTTAAATGTTTCATATTTTAGAAGTAGTGCAGTGTCTAATTGCTGCATGATGATCACCCATTAACTAAAGCAAATAATTTTCTTACAGGTCTCTTCACGTGCTCAATTCTTCATTTGCGTAGAAGTTAGATTCTTCTATTGCAAGTTAACTGCTGCCAATATGAGAGAATTAAACACTGTGCTTTTTCCCTTAGGTTGAAGCATGTCAGGGAGATCTGAGTACACTGGCAAATGTGGTGACTTCATTAGCAAATCTCGGTAAATGCAAAGACATGTCACAAAGCAGTACAGACCTATCTATGATTGAGAGCTTAAGTAATGGAGATGCATCGTTATCTGAACTCAAGCAAGATGAACAAGCTAGTACTGATGTTTCAAGGTAAGGCATGTTACACTTGAAAAGAGTATTCTTTCTGAGGTCTCTGTCAATTCTGACCATTAATTAAATCCTTACAATGAAGGAAAGTTGTTGGCATTAAGAATAATAGTAATAGCAGCCTAAGCTCAGATAGAACATAAATCTTGTAAGACTCTTCCACCTGAAATAATAATTAAATTATTTAATTTGTTCTACTCAAAATTAATTGCAATGTGTTACAGCTGATTTTCTTACCTTTTGGTTGGCCTTAATGTGCATTAGATCTTGTACTATAGTCTTAGTACCTTTTATCATCCTGGAAAGCTGGTTTTTACAGATCCCATCTGTGTAATTAGTTTAATGTCTGTAACTGTTAATCACCTTAAAAGCTTAAAAAACATTTTCTTTCTCCACAGAATTCCCACCATCAATACAAACACATTCACAGAATGTCATAGAATCAGAGAACAGTTTGGGTAGGATCTTTAAATATCATCATCCAACCCACCTGCCACAGGCAGGGGCACCTTCCACTAGACCAAGTTGCTCAAAGCTCCATCCAGCCTGGCCTTGAACACTGCCAGGGACGAGGCAGGCACAACTTCTCTTGGGCAACCTGTTCCAGTGTCCCACCACCCTCAGTAAAGAACTCCTTCCTAATACCTAACCTAAATCTACCCTCTGTGAGTTAAAGCCATTCCCTCTTTTCCTGTCACTACTTGCTCTTATAAAAAATCCTTCTCCAGATTTCTTGTAGGGCCCCTTAGGTACTGGAAGGCTGCTCTAAGGTCTCCTGGAGCCTTTTCCAGGCTTAACAAGCCCAACTCTCTCAGCCTGTCTTCACAGGAGAGGCACTTCAAACCTTTGATCATCTTTGTGGCCTCCTCTAAACTTGTTCCAAGTAGCTCCAATATTTTTCAGACTTGTGGTTTGCACTGGTTTTAACTGAGCCCCCAGTTTATATACTGGGCATGACGTGCTGTGGTATGGAATACCCCTTTGGCTAGTTTGGGTCAGGTGTCCTGTCCCTGCTTTCTCCCAGCTTCCCCTCCTCCCTGGCAGAGCATGAGAAAGTCCTTGGTCAGAGTAAACGTTACTGAGCAACAACTAAAAACATCGGTGTTATCAGCATTGTTCCCAGGCTGAAAATCAAAAACACAGCACTGCACCAGCTACTAAGGAGAAAGATGACTGCTACTGCTGAACCCAGGACACTCATACTGACTGAACCACTTAACGTGGTTTTGGGCAGCCTGATCTAGTTCAAGATGTCCATGCTCATTGCAGGGGGGTTGGACTAGATGACCTCTGAAGGTCTGTTCCAACCCAAACTCTTCTTATTCTATGAAATAACAATATTTCCCCTATGTTTTCTACTGCTTTGTATATTATGCAAGCAGGATGCATTTTTTTCTGCTCCTTTCTTTCTGTGCTGCTTAGAAAGTCAATGTGACATTATTTGGTGTTGATTTGACCTTTTGCTGTGTCATTCTAGGTGAAGAATATAAGAATATGCTGTTTAAATAGTATTGTTGTACATGCTGATAAACTTCATTTCAGTAGTACAGACTTCCAAAAAGCTGTGCTCATCTTTTATTTTGTTATTTCCTGGCACTTTCAGATACTTGCTTTTGCCAACTTCAGTGTTTCTGTTCAGTTTTAAACACCTATGAAAAGGCATCCAGTTCTCTCAGCCAGAGAGCTTGAAAGAGCCCTGACTCAGCTTAATGTGTACCCTTGTCCAATAGGCTACCTGACAGATTTACAGTGGGGAGGTTCAAGTTAAATACTTCTATGAAAGGAAGCAGAAGTCACTAAAGGAGAAACTAAAATTTTTCACATAAATCTTTGCCAGGCCCTATGCCAGCTTGATCTAACAGACACGGATGTTCACAGAAGAAAAGGAGTTTAAGGGATTTCAGGAAGCAAGTTTTATCCATCTGCTTTTCTTGTATTTAACAATATTCCATTGCTGAAATTCAGATCTTCTAGCAGAAGTCCAGTAATACAGTTTCTGTGGCTTACCATAAATGCATTCCCTTTATGTCTACTTTCTGTATGCTAGAGACAGAAAACATCTCAGGTGTGTCTGTGTAGTCCACTTCTATCTATTCAGTCCACTTGTGCCTGCCCCAGTCGCCCTCATGTACACATCAAGTTATATAGGCTAGTGCAGGACCTAAACCTAGTTCATTTACCATCACAAGCCTGAGGCTGTGGCAGCAGCTCTTTTATTGTGATGTTTTGTTTGGATGTAAATAATTATGTCAAATATAGTAAACATTCAGGGGTTTAAAATGTTAATGAATTTAGATAGCTAGGGACTGTGGGGAAACAGAAGGTGGCAAAGTTCTAGACTGGACTGTTGTCAAGCAGCAAAATAACAACTAATCTATATCTGTGCTTGTCCTGACATCTCCTCTGTAATGTTTGTGCATGCAACAGAGCTCACTGCCCCACATCAAAGGGTACTAAGGATGGTATTGAAAGCATGAGAGTGCTTCCTCTTACATATTTAAAAATGGGCTTTTCAAAGTAAGTTGAATCACTTTACCACAATAAAAATCTGTAAAATCTATATGTGCATTAAGCTGTTCCAACAGCAGCCTGATGATTATGTCCTCAGAGCGCTCATGCCAGCGCTCTCAGTAAACTTCACTAAAGAGATCTTGAAAGGCAAACTGTGATTCAGCAGACAGTCAGTATGTCAAAACTGTGAATTTGTTGGCAACTAGTGTGAACAGGATCTGCTGCTAATTTTTGTTTCAGAGCCTCTGTAACTTGGGAGTTCTCAGGGATTTTGTTTGGTGAAGTGTCAGGACAAGCACACTGCTGACAAGATTTCATTTTCCTAATCTGTTTGTTTTGTGCTTTGAAACAGCTAAGTACAGGTTTCAGACATGTGCAAGTACCTCCGAGATTGAAACAGTCTCTAACGTTAAATTTTCTTTTATTTTGTTTGTTTGGTTGTTGTGATCTTACAGGGCATTTGATACTCTTGCGAAAGCATTAAATCCAGGGGAGAGTGCAGCATGCCAGAACTCAGAAAGTATTGATGCCAATGTACAGCTGATTGGTGGAGAATCAAGCCTGAACATCGTTGAAATAGAAGGACCACTACTCAGTGATGCACATGTAGCATTCAGGGTACTTAACAATATTTTTTACTATTGACAATAATCATTTTAATGTAGTCATATAAAATAATGGTCTCATTAAATCTGATTTTGATTTTCTTAGAAGAGTAATTATTTGTTCGGGTATTGTCATTCCTTTCTGATGAATGCACCACTTTTTTTCACTGGTGAACTGTTTGCTTGGGAAGATGGACAGCTCTCTGCTGTGGTTTAGCTGCACTCTTTCTTTTGTAGCTTCTTTAAAAATACAAGGTGATCTATGCAGAAGGGTTTACATAGACAAGTGTCACACAAAGCAGAGTCAGCATCCTCATTCTCCCTTGGTACCAGGTGGATCTCATGCACTCTGCAACTGGATGTTGAGACTCCAGTGTATTTGCCAGCTTATGATTATCTCAACAATTTCACTTTTTCACTTAAACTCTGATTCTTTTTCTTACCATTTTTTTGTGAGGAAAGTAAAATAACTGACTTGGACTTTTTTTTTTCTCCTTTGGTTGCCAGCTCACCATGCCTTCTCCTATGCCTGAATATCTTAACGTTCACTATATCTGTGAATCTGCCTCCAGGCTGCTTTTCTTGTCCATGCACTGGGCACGTTCTATTCCATCTTTCCAAGCATTAGGGTAAGTGGTTACTCCATTCACTTCGTTGTGATTATGCACTTTTAAAGTTTTTATTTGCACTGTCTTCTTCAGGGGCATGTTAAAATATAAATCTACTTAATAAAACTTTGATAGATCTTTGTCATGCAGGTAAATTTTCTGAATCAAAACTACTCCCAGTAGTTTTCAGTCCAGTTCAGGTATTTCGGTTCAGTTTTGAAGTAAAATTTCAGTCCAGTTCAGGTATTCCGGTTCAGTTTTGAAGGAAAAAGGACATTTTATAACAATCAAACACCTGCACTTTAATAATTTTTTAGTAAATAGGGTTTCCTATTATTTTCTTGTTAGCAACATCCCAAACAAAACCGTAGTAATAGTTTCATACAGAAGATAGATAGTTCTGTCCAAGTGGTTTCTTAGTTTCCTTAGTCCTGGCAAGATAGTTGGCTTTGGCATACTGATGCAGTTAACGATATCAAAGTACTGCTTACTTCATCTTCCTCCATCTTTGTAGGCAAGAGAGATTCCTACTGAAATGTTCATCAGTCTGGTTACAGACTCTTCTTTTTTTGAGGCTGCTTAGGTTTGATCAGGTGGTTCTGGTCTAAATTCAATCATTCAGTTCTGCTCTGAGTTTGATCAGCCATAAAGGTCCTCTAAATGGTACATTTCTTTACACACGTACCAGCTGAGTAGCCAGTACACCCTGTTTTTAGTGTTCCTCAGCATAGTCCCTATGACAGGAGATAAATGAGGATGTGACAAATACGTGTAGAAGCTGCATGTACAGTGTCATGTCTACCGTAACAGGAACTTGATCATAGTAAGAAATACTGCTCTAGGTAAGCTCTCTGTGATCTGGTACAGGGCAAGTGTATATTAATCTTTTGTCATTTGGCTGCTTAGTATTGATGATTGTAAATCATCAGAAATGTTCTTGAAGATTACATCAACGTTCTTGCAAAAATCCATTCCATTGTATTCCCGTAGTTGAAATCCTGGTTTTAATGTGCTTTTCTTCTTTGATAGGTCTTGTGCTTCTTTTATATTTCATTATTTTTATTTACTGGCTAAAACTGTGAAACATGGTACCTGAAATTGCCTCCTCATTGCTAGGATTTCCTTTTTAAGGTACCGAGCTCTTGTTAAGCTCTACAAGTTAGAGATGCTTGGCAGTACTCAAAGTTAGGTTACTAATACGCAAGTGCCTCAATATGGATTCATATACCTAATTTTAAGCATTTGGGGAAAAAAAAAACCTGACTAGAGATGAAGTGTAATTTAAGGACTAATTCTTGCAGCAAAGGAATCCTCGTGACTTCTATTTACACTTTGAAGTCTTGTATTTCAAACTCTGTTCCAGACATGAAGGTGATACTGAGCTTCCTGCCTGCTATTTTCTGTAACTTGATCCCATGTTTTCCATTTCACGTATATTTTTAATCTAAAAATTACACCAACATGCCAGATTTCAAGTAGAAGAAAAAGACAACAAACAAACCAGACCTTTGAGCCTGTTCTACATCCACAGTACAGGAACAATGCAAGCTTTCTTTGTCCATGCATGCAAAAAAGAAAAACTAGCATGATGGAATGTGCCTAGACATTGTCATTTACTGTCGCTTCCGCTTTCTTTTACTGTAACTGCAGCTTTTGTGATGGAAATCCATCCATCCCCTTTTAGCTCATTAAACCAAAAATTATTTCTTTACAAAAGTCTCTCTAAACCAAGTATTTTAGTCTTGATATGCAAGTAAAACTGTTTCTGATGCAAGCTTTCATTTTGGTACTGTTTACAATGGCTGAATTAGGTGAATATTTTATGATTTCTTCTTCAGGTAAAAAAAAAAAAAAGTGAATGCAAAAGGCCGAGGTTTTTAACTGAAATTACTGTAATTTTTAACAGGCAGGACAACAGCATATCATTAGTAAAAGCCTGCTGGAACGAACTTTTCACGCTTGGTCTTGCACAATGCTCACAAGTTATGAATGTGGCAACTATATTAGGTGCATTTGTTAATCACCTTCATGGCAGCTTACAGCAAGGTAAGGTGTATGATATGCTCATTGCCAGTCTTGGGGAATTAGTTCATGGGTTTTAAGCTTGGAACTGGCAGAAGCTTTTGCTTATCCTTCAGCTGTTAATGAAAATTTACTGTTTATAGAGGTTTGTTGGTAGCACAGAAACAAAATAACAGTAGAAAATACAGCTCACAAGATGGATTATTTTAGAAATTTCACAGAAGTCACTAATGCTAATACTTAACCCCCAAATTAAAAAGAATAAATTGTCCGTTTATCTGATGTGGGTTAGCATTGCATTTTCTGGGGTTATTTTTAGTGTGTGTGTGTGTGTGTGTGTGCAATGTCTAACAGTGTACTGCTGTTCTGTTAATACTGTCAGCTCAAATTAGGAATTTTTCAGGCTGTTCAGTATCTCCTTGCTGTTCAGAGCTGTGAAACAAAGCAGCAAAATGCCAACTTGGTGATGTATTTCCTTCACATAACTTGGCTTGTTGACATCTGTACACTAGCTTTAGACTACGTGCAAGTCTTCAACATCTTCACAAAGCCTACTTTGTACTTAAGTAATCCTGCAGCCTGCATCTTGTGCATATTATTTACTCAAATGGAAGAGATATCAGCTGCCTCCTCTTTCATTTACAGTGAAGGAAATGTTCTGAGCAGTAGGCGAGTCTTTGAGATAATCTTCTTTGTGTGCTTCTCAACATTCACAGGGTTGTTAGCACTAAAAGCTAAACAGTCAGAAATAGTGTAGTCTTCATCTGTTCATAGCCTTAACGCATTTTTTATAAGGTAGATGCATACAAAAATATTAGCATTTTCAGGCTTAACTGGATTTTGGGGTAATTTGCTATTATATGTATGAAAATTGACTGTTAGTGCTATGCAAAACCAGATTGGTAGGATGTAGAGAAACAGCTCACCAAACTAGATTTTTTCCTCTCCTTTTATGATGAGGGTATTAAAAAATTGTTTCTCAGGGGTTTTCATGCTTTAAAATACCCACAAGATCCTCCTGTAGGTAACAATAGTTTATAATTAAACTGATTAAATGACTAAATGTACAGCTAAAGATACTCTCAGATTTGTGAATGTCTTTAAAGAGATACAAATGGAATTTAAGGAGTTCCATTGGTCTGTATAATTTTAAGCGTGTTCACCAAAAACGGTATTGTAGTAATTAATCATGTTTTTACCATTACTACAAGTATGTATTTGTGCTCTCTAATTTGAATGCAAAAATCAGAAATTCATAACCAGTATCTTCCGGTTGTGTAGCATGCCAGCTGCAGCATCTCCAAGAGATAGCAATTTTGTGGGGCCCAGGGAACCTAGTTTGATGGATTGTGAAGGGGACAGTATCAGCTATTACTGACCCAAGGGGAACAGCTCTGCACAACTACACATTCCCCTAAATGCAAATCACGAAAGGTATAGTGCACCTTCTTTTCCAGCAGTAGCATGGTCTTGGACTGACTGAAATAACCCACGATACGGTACACTAACCTAATCTCATGGCCCCTGACCCTTAGAGTGCAGATCTGCAGTAGTAGTGTATTGTTTGCTTGTAGTCTTTCCCTTCCTCAGATCATTTCAAGTTCTAGTCCACCCCTGGTTACTGGAGTGGCAGGAGGAGACCTAACTGTACAATGTGAAGGGGGAAAAAAAGCTTGTTATGGTTCATGATTGTTGGTGTCAAGATTATTCAGACCTAGTATGTGAGTTCATAGTCAGCACAGATTCCCCACTGTTGGACTCTTAATAAAATTTTTATTTAAAAAATCCAGTGTGATCATATTTTGTGCATGTGCATTGACTCAGGGGTCTTTTATTTATGTGTGTATTGACTTAGATAAGCTGTCAACAGACAGAGGAAAACTAGTAATGGAGCATATCTTCAAATTGCAAGAGTTCTGCAACAGCATGGTTAAGCTTTGCCTAGATGGATATGAATATGCGTATTTGAAAGCAATCGTCCTCTTCAGTCCTGGTATGTAGTATTACAAATGTTAAACTTTAATCTGCGCTAATTTTTGCTATGTAACTTGTGCCTGTTTTCGTTTCATGCAGTTACTATCACCTGTATAATTATTGCCTCGTTTGTTGAGGAGCCTTGGAAGGTTTGTAATGAGGCCTGTAGGAAGAGGAGGGTTAATCTTAATGTAAATAGTTGAATGTTGCTTTGAAGACTTTTACTCTTGCCTCTACCACTGATGTTTTACAAAATACTTATTTATTTATCACTTTTAATTTTGTGCCTCCTTACTAGGGTACTTTTTCTGAGGACCTGTAGTTTAATTTTCAGAAGTGTTGCTCTTGCACATTCAGCTGAGATGGATTGAAATTGGGCTTTTAATGTATGAAAGACCATCTTCCTCAGCATCCATTCTCATATGCAAAATTACAGAAACACATCACCTCACTTCACATAGATATTTTGGAAATAAGTGTTACATGTAGCATATCTGGTGAATAAGCACCACAAACATTCCCATGTATTGTTACTTTTGTCTTCTTAGAAGATTGCCTAATGTACCCCAAGTGCCGTTAATGGACATACATTAGACAGTGAAGATAAAATAATGATTATTTTTCCCCCGGGAGATTAGTCTACAAGATGGAAGAAGAGTAGTCCTCTGGTTATGACAGTGACTGAATAGATTATCTAGCGCAATGTCTACTAGGGTTCATGAGATGATCTGTTGGCCTGTCTGAAGAATCACTCCAGAATAGACACCAGAAAATACTTCTTTGTGAACCTCACACTTGCAAAGCGATACTTACATACTTGTTTAATCAGAAGTTAATTTGTCTCCTCCCAGCTAGATTGTATAACACAAAAGGTAGAAGGAAACATATCTTGGGAAAAGGCATGATTGAGATGATTTTCTTTAGCTCACATGCTTTCAGGATAGCATTCCAAATGATGCGTAGCTGCTTTCATGACAATGTGTTGTCAGTATTGATCCTATGAGCCGTGTAATGAAATCTTCATGTATCTGAAAGTCATGTTCAATAATACCTTTAGTAGAAAGGATGTTCTGTCAAGTGATTCATAGGTCAGACATTATGATTTCAGGGATTTTTCTGCTCTGCTGCAGGATGGGGCTGGGTTGCACATGTGGCAGGGTCCTGAGGTAAGAACATCTGCTGTAGGAGGCCCTACTGATTTACTATCTTCCATAGCTGGAGACTTGGAAGATTACTGAAAATCATCTGTGCCATGCCAGCTCTTTTACTGTCAGAAGACAACCTTGGGCAGAGGAGTGTAAAGGAGTGCTGAGAAGGCTTTGCATCTTCATAAGCGGCTGCTTGTCTACAAGCAGTGGTCTTCAAACTACTGTTTTCAAAAGTTGACTTATAGGTGTGTTTCTGACATTGCTCTAAAAGCAGCATCATGAAGGGATGCATATTGCATGTCAGTGACACTTCTTCAAAATGAATTCCTTCTTTCCAAACTTACTAAGCTCTTGTCCTCTGCATTAATTTGAAGCCATGCTTTTGGAATGACTGAATTACTGTATAGGATGAAATATTCCTCTGTGAAGCAATGTGTTTAGGGAAGTCCAGTGATTCATGTAATTGTTTTGAAAGCTTCTAGGCCAAACCCTCCTGATTTTCTTGACACAAGGCCATATATTTGGAGAGGAGTGATTGTTAGAAATAATCTTTTATCTGACATCATTTGGCAGCTCATTTATGATCCCATTTCTGAAAAATAAAATCTACATGATTTGTCATGCTGCTATGACAGTAAAATATTTACATTAAGATGGATGGATAATAAAAATTACAGACCACATAAAGTGTTCAGAGCCAGCAGATAATAATTTCCAAATGTGACTTGGCAGTTAGGTTAATACCCTTTCATTTTAGCAAGATTTACATTTCAAGTGTTTAAGCTAAAAATAATGTTTAACACATTTGAAAGTTTTGCACCAAACAGTTGGAAAAGAATAATCTGCTCCATATCTTCTCCAGTTTTTAGGAAACAAGTGCTTCATAGCCTTTTATTCTGCTTTTTCCACTGATCTTAATTTTATCCTTTGCGTCCCACCCAAATGCTATCTGTGCATACAATTGTCCAGTAAATGTGAGTGTATTGAAACAATGCTACATAGAGAACAGAGCTGTATGATTGAGATTGATGTAACACTGCAAGCACTACCTTTATTTGAATTCTTGTTGTGGTTTAAACCAAGGCAAATCTTCAAAATGTCCGGTTGTATTTCTAAAGAACTAAACAAAATATAAACGTAGAATAAGTATGGTGAGTTAAAGCAATGTCCTCCACTAAAAGTGTGAAGTTGCTACAGCTACCAAATGATGATTTTGGTATGCTTACAGATAGATAATCTCTATGGATTTTAGTCTGTCTTATCTAGAACAGGTATAACAATGTAGAGTGGGTTTTTTTTCCAGATCATCCAGGTCTAGAAAATGTGGTACAGATTGAGAAATTTCAAGAAAGAGCTTACATGGAGTTCCAAGACTATGTAACAAAAGCATATCCGGATGATACTTACAGGTCTGTAAACTTACTTGATTGATTCTTTTTTCAGAGCACTGGTGATTATTTCTTGTAATAAATATGTACATTTTCTTCTTGCTTCTGTAAAGGTAAGAAATGATCTTTAGAGCACTTGAAATATTATGCAGGTACTCATACATATTATGAGTATTATTTATCTACTCATTCATTATTCATTTCCAAACTGAAATATTGGAAATAAATATTTTTAATGTTTGAATTGCATCTACTTGGGAGTATTTCCTCATTTAGTCTTAAGTCCAAACATGATACTGTCCCTGTAATTGACATGCATAATCATGTTTTTTGTACTGTTTAAAGACATGTCTGAACATAAATTTAATACTGTCCTGATTTAAATATTTAAGCCTTTCAGGAACTAGATACAGCAAATTTTGGCCAGTATTGTCATTTGTTATTTTTTCCCCTTACTGATAACATGAATAACACCAAAATCTGTGACCACAACTAACTTTTTACCCAACTTGCTTTCTAGACTGTCTAGACTTCTTCTCAGATTGCCTGCTCTGAGGCTGATGAGTGCTGCCATCACTGAAGAACTGTTCTTTGCAGGACTAATTGGCAACGTTCAGATTGACAGCATCATCCCATATATTCTGCGAATGGAGACAACGGACTACAACTCCCAGATAATCAGTCATACAATATAAAAGTACTAGTCAAGTATTCCGTACCATGGCAGTCATGCTGATGTAAATGCATACCCTGTCTCCAAGAGATGGCAATAAGCCTTCCCACGCACCTTTTCAAAGAAGGCTAATATTCCTCCTTTCCAGTACACTTGGGAAACGTGATGGAGTGTATTAAGGAATATAGGATCACTTCCTATTTTTCATCTGATCTTCAAGGACTTGTAAATTTACTTGGTATCTGAAGAAAGTCAAGAATTGTCCATCCTATTTTTATAGATAGATGAACTTGGAATATTTGTTTATGAAGTCCAAGCTTGTGAAGAAGCTGAAGAAGCTTTGACTGAACTAAGGTATCTCAACTTAGTTTGATGGTTTGGAGAAATAAATTAACTTCTCTCTCTGAGTTGCGTTTTCATTGTTTTGCTACTAGTTCTTTCTTACTGGTCAAATGGAAAATACATGATCAAACATCCTGAACAGGTCAGGGTTTCCATGGCAGCAAGACTGTTATAACCAAACATAGTTTTCCATTTGTTTTAAAGAGAGATTTGTTTCTTGTTGAATGAAACACTGGGCAGTAGAGAACGCTGGAAACGCTGGAAAGTAGGAAAAGTTCACATTTTAAAACACTTTGATGAGAGGTTGCTGCAGTTGATCAATACTGACTGTTTTGTGGGTGCAATGGAATACTGTGTTGTAGTACTACCTCTTGGTAGACATCAGCTGTTTTATACTATGGAAAACTAACAGAGAAGTGTATGCTGCAGGTATTCAGAGACAGCATCGTCCTGCTTTTTCTAGTCTTAGAAGTTAAAGCTTTTTCACACTACCACTTCCTCTGTCATACTCGGTGCACAACAGTGGAGACACTCTAGATGCCTCTTGTGTTCATGTCTTCATTTTTTTTTAATATTGTTAGCCTTTGGCTATGCAGTTCTCTTTTCCAATCAATCTTATATGCTTATTGTTTAAATTTGAGTGTGTCAAATTCAGTGCCCCTCCCTATGTGAGCATGGTCTCGGATGCTTTTCCTGTCCTTATTAGAAGTGGGTCTAGATCCTTCATATATGTTACCTGAGTCATACATACTTCATAGCTACATCTAAGGATGGTTTTTTTCTATCCTGAGGCATGTGCCTCACTGACAAGTAACACTGACATAGTTGCTTCTTGCTTCGTTTTTCAGTGGGCCTTTATACATCCCTAGCACATTTAACAGCTGTTGCTTAAAATACAAATTATCGTAGTAGTAGTGGTCTATCTCTGATGCTAGAATTCAGGATTATATAAACCTTGGATCAAGGCTGAGTTCTGTTTATCACAAATCTTCTCTTTCTCCAGCAACACTGGGTGAGGAAGAGCCTCAGCAACACACATATGATGGCACCAGGAATTGCTCAGCCAAAAGATCATCTTAAATGGGGGTCTTTGCCCGCTCTGCACCAGCAGGTCCAAGGCCACCCTAACACCAGGAGACTACTAGATGAGGCTTCTGTAGTTTTTCTCAGCACCTGAGGACCTCAGCCAGCCAAAAAGAATTGGAGAACTGCCTCTGACACTGACTTTCTGTGTTCTTTTCAATTCCACTACCTGAGCTGTTCGGATCTTCTTCCACCCAAGCTATGTAATTTGAGGTTTTACTACAGGATTGGTCACAGCCAACACCACAGGCAAAGCACTCACTGCAGAGGACCCCTGATGGGATGGCACCGTCTGTCCTGCCCTGCCCTGGCATTTACTGACTTGCTGGAGTACTGACCTGCCTTCAGTGTTGGAGCTGGCTGTGTCTGCTGAGCTCTTCCTACATTCCACCTTTCAAAGGATGCAGGATTCAAGCTCTTCATCTGGGTCCCCTTGGAGAGCAATGTGAGGACTATTGGGTCTTGGGATGTATGCATCTATCTCATCAGCAGGGTTTATGGATATATGAAAGAGTTGCTGCCAATATGCTGTGCTGCTTCTCTCCCCAACAGTTAAGAGGCCCAGCTTGCCATCAGTAGGACCAAGTTGCAGATGGGAGGTGTATAACTCTTCTTCTCTCCTTGGAAATTCTGACCCTACTTGCTAGCCCTTTGCTGTCCTTGACCTGCTTCTAGCACTAACAGGCATGGAAGATTTAAAGTCCTCTGTTAAACTTTTTAAGGAAGCTGACGGCACATTGTTCCTGAGTATTTTGGAAAGTGGTTTCCCAGGCATTCTAATAATCTTGGAAGCGTTGTACTCCAGTATTCTCCACACTCATGTAACCCAGATAATAGTAAGACAGAAATATTATCTTGTTTCCCTTTTAAATGCAGTACATTGTGCAAATCTCTCTCCCATCCTTACAGAAATCTTTAAATCCATCATTTGAGCCTCAGGTATCATACACAGTTCTTGGTTTACGGCTGGTCAAAAGATTCGGCTCACACAGCCTCTTCCATGGGACCATCCTGTTTCAGAGACTCTGGGCAGAGAAGAGATTCAGAGCAGCCCTGCAGAGAAGGACTTGGGGGTGCTGGTCGATGAGAAAATGAACATGAGCCGGCTTCAGTGTGCGCTTGCAGCCCAGAAAGCCAACCGTATCCTGGGCTGCATCAAAAGGAGTGTGACCAGCAGCTCGAAGGAGGTGATCCTGCCCCTTTATTCTGCTCTCGTGAGACCTCACCTGGAGTATTGTGTGCAGTTCTGGTGTCCTCAACATAAGAAGGACATGGAACTGTTGGAACAAGTCCAGAGGAGAGCCACGAGGATGATCGGGACTGGAGCACCTCACATATGAAGATTGGCTGAGAAAGTTGGGGCTGTTGAGCCTGGAGAAGAGAAGGCTGCGTGGAGACCTCATAGCAGCCTTCCAGTATCTGAAGGGGGCCTATAGGGATGCTGGGGAGGGATTCTTCATTAGGAACTGTAGTGACAGGACAAGGGGTAATGGGTTAAAACTTAAACAGGGGAAGTTTAGATTGGATATAAGGAGGAAATTCTTTCCTGTTAGGGTAGTGAGGCACTGGAATAGGTTGCCTGGGGAGGTTGTGAATGCTTCATCCCTGGCAGTGTTCAAGGCTAGGTTGGACGAGGCCTTGGGTAATATGGTTTAGAGCGAGGTGTCCCTGCCCATGGCAGGGGGGTTGGAACTTGATGATCTTAAGGTCCTTTCCAACCCTAACTATTCTATGATTCTGTGACAAACAGAAAATATGAGTCCTGCAGATACTAGTCTTCAGTGACTGAATCCTTTGGCTCATTCCTCTTTATCATAGAGCAGTCCAGGTTGGAAGGGACCTGAAAAGATCATCCAGTGCAACCTTTCACAGGAAAGGGAGCCTAGATGAGATTATCTAGCACTCTATCCAGTTCCATCTTATAAGCTTCCACTGGTGGGGACTCCACTGCATTCCTGGGAAGTTGTTGCCGTTACTGATTGTTCTTAGCATAAGCAAATTCTTTCTTATATCCAGATCTCCAAGATTTTCCAAAGATTATAGACAGTTGCCTTGCACCAATGTCAGACACTTAATACCTTAGGGTGAATTTCTTCTGCACCTATGGACTTTTTTGGGTTGAGCCCTTGCAGGAGGCTGCAGACCAGTCCTTCCTCCACTGCTGGTGGGTCAACACATTGTCAGAGCTATTTGATCCTGTGCTCTGTGGTCCAGCTCTGCTGGTAAAGACAGAGGCAAAGAAGATGCTGAGAACCTCTGCCTTGTCAGCATGACCACTGAGTATTTTCCCTGCCCTGTTAGGCAGCAGGTCTGCATCTTCCCTGTGCTTCTGCTTACTGCTTGTATATATCTGAAGAACCCTTTTTTCTTGTTCTTGACATCTTTGACCAATTTCAGCCCTAGCTGAGCCCTGGCCTTCATGATCGCATCTCTACATACCCTAGCAAGGTTCTTTTAATCCCTGATGGGAATTTAGCTGCTTTCCATAGGTGGTATGCTGGGGTTTTGCCTTTTTTTTTTTTTTTTTTCTTTTCTTTTTTTTTGTCAGAGTGCTGTTTTGGATGAGATGACCGGAGAACCTTATTTCCTCTGGATTTCTGTTCTTGCTTCCTCTTTGTGCCCTAGTCTGTCTGCATACAAGTTAGCCTACTTCAATAACGTGTGCCCTGCCATTACCACTGACTGCTGGGTCGTGACTACTTTCCTAGGGTGTGTTAACTCAAAAGCACAAGAACCTTGGTCATGTTTCCCATCGGGTTGTTTAAATTCAGGTGTTTGTTGGGAAAAAAAAAACAAACACTTTATGATTCTGGATACCTCTGACATTTGGACCTCCACAAAGCAACTGTGCACACAGACAGCACATTGCAAAGAGCTCTGGCTACTGGTAAGTAACCTTTTATCCAAAAACTTTTCTTACATCTTTTCATAATAATAAATTTTCATCCTAAGTTCAGTATTGATTTAAAGGTAGGGTGCAGCTGCTTTATGCTGCCTATCTTTCTTGTCTTCATGATGAGCTAGAAGCTGGATCCCATACTGCAGGTGGTTGCTTCAGTGTTACTCACTTTGCTTATGAAGATTTTTCATTAGTCATTTAAAAATCATTAATCATTCTTAAGCTATAAATTCATGCTTTTGATAAGGAGTGAGGCGTAACTGGGTTTTCTCAGGAATGGGAGCTTTAAAACAGGTATATTAATGCAGGGATGAACATGTTTCTTCCTTATTTCTGGATGTTAAGCACTGTGGTCATCTGAGAATAATGCAACAGTTCATGGGAAGGTGAAACACAAGTTCTGGTTTTGTTGTTTTGCTTTTTTAATATAACTGCTGCTCAGTTAAATGGAGCATATTGTTATCTTCATCTCAGACCTTCAGTGTTTCCAACACCTATGATCTATTGTCATTTCTAGCCTTGTGAATTAATGTTCTTTGCTCCTAGATGAAAGGCTGGATAATATTGCTGGTTTCCTTCCTGTTGCTGAGTAATGTTGTTAATCAGCTAACAAAAATGTGAATATTAAAGTTCACTTCATCATGGATATTAAAATATCATTATTTTTGTGACCTTTTCACCTTTGATTTATTTTTCAACTTTTTGATCTTCAGCAGTCTGACAGTTTTCAAACCCATCAGGATTTAACCAAGCTGTCACATTCACTAGCCAAAAAATAAAAAGTCTCTCTGACAACAGAAGGACAAGTTTAGTTTCAACAACTTTAAATTTGTCAATATTCAGAGCAAGAAAAATCGTTTACATATAAATCACATGAAAGGCATAACAATTTTATACTTTTCAGAACCCTGTCTTGTAAAGATGGGAGTGATGCTACACGCATAATAAGCTTACTGGTTCAAACATTCTTCATGGAAGTGTATGTTGTACATAAACCCATGGGTTTATGTTGCTTGTTTCATACTGGTTAAGTTCCTGGTGCAAATGATTGTTATAAACTTTTCAGAAATACACTTATTGCAATACTTTCTGCAGTTACAACCTTATCTGTCCGTGCCGTTACTGTCTTTGTGTGTTCTCCAGTGTGGGTGAAGGTCAGTCTGTTCAGTTTGAAACCAGTCTGGTTTGTTCAGCGGTGGCAGTTTGCTAGTACGGCCACTTTAGTGTAAGCACTACAACGTCACTGTAATTGTCTTGCTGTTGTATTAAAATAAAATCACTGTGGATGTCTTGAAAGCTGCCTAAATTGGTAAATTCTATTTTGGCTGTATTTTTTAAAATAAACTGTAAGTTTCTATTCTAGAAAACAGTGGCAATAACCTATTACTTGATGTTTTATATGGATTGAATGACACACCTAAACCAGTGTATATATGATTACAAAGAGTTTGTGGATCTTTTACACTTTTATTACACAGTGTAGTACTGTCACTTGTATTCAGTCTCTGGGATTTGTGATAGCTGCAATATCTTGCTGTTTGCTCCTCTTTGCTGCTATTAACTTTTTATTTCCATGCTTACTACTTTCTGCCCTATGAATTTGAAAATGTAATAATTGTAAAATTTAATTTACCAATTTTTTTTCTTTTGGAAACACTCCATAGAAATATGTATTGTAATGAACCCTGATCAAATATCTTCATGTTATATCATGCAATAATGTATACTTGGGTATGATTATTTGATTCATTATGGAGCAGTTTTAGGTTGGAAGTTAGGGTATGATGGAACACAGTTTTTTCCTTTTGAAAGAAATACAGCTTTAATTATCTCATTTTTACCTATTGCTGGATAAATAATGAATTTATTATTGTTTAAAATTGTGAAATTATCATGAGTTTTGGTATATTCCAGAATTGATTGAAAAGTGTAATTTTTTTGGTCTTTGTCTCCTGTTATAAATGAATGTGGTGTTTGCATGAATGTGTAGATAATCCAGAACAGCATCCCAAATGAGAAATGAGCTACCATTCTTTCCATGTTTAAATCTGAAATGTTTTTATCATTAAGTAAATTAGTAATGCACTGACACACTGCAGAGAAAATCTAAGGTTCACTGGTAAAAGATGAAGTTTGGATGATATAATGAGTTACCTAATGGTGGCAGCTGGAAATAAGCATGAAGAGTCTCTTCCCCGTAAAAGCTTACTTCAGGCTTTCTTCTGGAGTAAGTTCACTAAATTCCTGGAGTAAGTAAGTAAGGCAGGTGTTCTCCTGCCTCTGTTCTAAAAGTTCACCTTTCTCAGTACTTAGAATCATAGAACAGTTTGGGTTGGAAGGGACTTTAAAATTATCCTGTTCCAAGCCCCCTGCCATGGGCAGGGACACCTTCCACTAGACCACGTTGCCCCTTGTCCAACTTGGCCTTGAACAATTCCAGGGAGGTGGCATCCACAGCTTCTCTTTTGCATGTCATCCTTTGAGTCATTGAGGAAATGGATTTGAAAAGTACATTCTTGCTTGTTGCACTCTATATCTGTATTAGAAAAGAAGCAACTTACTTGTGTTCAGACTTGAGAGGCTTTTTTACCCTTGAAGAGTCTTAAGTTTTCAAAACCAGAAACTAAAGATTTCTTACAGGTGCATGAGTTATAAAACTCACATTACTTGAGTGATGACACAGCATTTCAATGCTGTCTCCCAAAGATGTCCCAGTAAATTCTCAGGAAGATGCTATACATTTGCACTCCCCTGTATTTGACTATGACATCTGCACCAAGTTCAGGGAGAATTTTGAGCACAGTAGTATGATTCATTGTTCACCCTCATTGACCAAACACATTAACAAAAGCAGTTTAAGTAGATGTGATGGGACTTGAGTAGTTATGAGCTAATGAAATTCTCAGTGGAAGTCTCATTTGACCCAATTAATAGAGAAAAATAGTACAAAGAAATATCAAACTATAATTTGAAGATGCTGTAAAATGTTCCTTCTATTAAGAATGAATTTTAACAAAATCTTCTGTAGGATCACTGTCACATTAACAAGTTCCCTTCTTACAGCTTTGTGTCACAATGCCCCATTCTCCACAGTAGTCTCAGTCTAAGAACCGTGGTGCTGTGAGGATCAATGAAGTGATCCAGATCATTTTCACTCTTGGGAAGAAAACATTATTTAATGGCCAGCAGAGAAAATGCTCATGGAATTATACTGTCAGTCAATGAAAATTACCCCAGTTACAGAAACAACAGTCTCAGAAATAGATTCAAGAGCTGAACCTATCCAATGCTTCAAAAGCTGGCTGACTTAATTGACTTAATTCTGTCATATTTTACACTCCATTGTCAATAATTTATATCAAAATAATGCTTTTTATATATGAAGTTATGGACAACAGAACAAGTGAATTCTGACTGCAAATGTTCCTGGCTTTCTGCTTGCTCATGTACAATTACCTGAGTGTATTTTAATATATTTAGCAAATTTTCTAAGAGTTTTAATTGAGAAAATGTAAATAACCTGCCACAAGTGTACTGAAGCCTGAGACTTGCCACAAAACAGATGCTGTGGTTACAGCACAGCTCACCAAATCAGTAGGGCTTGTGTTTTCTGTCTGAACACAAAATCACTTGTGTTTAAATTAAAAACTGTTGAACGGGAAACTTAGACACCATACTATACGTTAACATGGGTATTATATTTCCACACTGTGACCTTGGCTGGCAGATCTTTTTCACAGTCTCATTTTCCTACTTAATATTTCACTTCAGCTCCTGCTTTCTCTGTTCCCAAATCCCCAGTTCCCATAGTGTTGGCGCCCAGCTGCTTGGCCTCTTTGAGACAGCTGGGCTCCACTGAGCAGCCAGTGCTGGCTACAACACTGGTCTGTGTTCACCAAGTGTTTTTCCAAGTCCTGCCTGCTCTGACAAGGTAACATGGATCTATTTTCAGCCCTTGTGAAGGTCAGTAAAGTAGTTTCCGCACCCTGCCAGACCAGCCTTGCAGTAACAGCGGTAAAGTACTCCCAGTGTCCCCAGCACGGCAATCAAAACTATTTCTTCCTGCTGCTGCAGAACCAGAAGACAGTGGGATGAGATGTAGATGGAAAGGTGGATAAGAGATACATGTTCCTAAATAGCCTCCCAGAGTTAGAAAAAGCCAGGGACCATCACCCACAGTTTGCATGAGGTGAGATGTCACCTCCCCTACCTCCTATTTTCTGGTCTAGGCAATCCTGGGCTTCTCACTGCCACTTTCAGTACTTGTGCTGTGACCTGTGTGGAAAAAAAGGATAGACAGTAGACATTTTTATTAAAAACAAAAATAAAAGGTGAGGGAGTCCCTATCCTGAATTTTTCTTGATTTTTCACATGTGAGCAGCCACTTTTCTGTGGATTTAGACTATGCAGATTGGAAGTACAAATCTGAGCATCTTCATCAGAAAATACCCTTCGGCAACCTTAGCAAAGGCCAGAAAAAGGATCTTGCTGCTGGTTGTTTCTGGGTTTAAAAAAAAAAACAAACACATGATAGATGTACTCGGAAAAGTGTGGTCTGCCCGCCCTGGGGAGCTGTCATGCTTTTGCCTGGAGTGGCAGTACCTGGGATACCAGGGTGCTGTTAAAGCAGAGCGGTGAGATCCAACTACAGCTGAAGGTTTTTGCAACGGCCATCAGCCAAGGACACATGTATTTGTGAGGATGAGTTGTGAGGGAGTTCTGAACCTACAGCCTGGTGGAGAAGGAAATCTAATGGCAGCCTACAACTGCTTGCAGGACGGCTAATAAGGACGGTGGTGCCACCTTCCTCATTGGAGTGGATCACAGAGCAGCAGTGGATGGCTGAAGAGCTGCTTGCGGGGCTGAGGCAGGATGAGGAGTAACCCACTCGGCAGCAGGGCAGGACAGCACCGAGCTGCCTGGAGGGCGGTGTATCGGCCACGGCGGGCCTGCTCCAGGCCCGGACAGCCCCACCACGGAGCGTCGGCAACCACCAAACAAACGAGGGACAGCGATACAGCTCCTGTGCCCTGCGGTCCCCGCTCCGCCGCTGGGAGAGGGAGTTGGTGCTGTCGCGGCGGGAGGCGGGGCAGCCCCAGGCCGGAACGGCGGGGGGAGCCGGGAGGGGGCGGCACCGCTCCAAGATGGCGGAGTACGTGCAGCTGCTGAAGAGGGCGATGAAGCACCTCGGCGGCCACGGCGGCGTCCGCGGTGCCATGTGGCAGCTGCTGAGGTAACGGGGCGCCCAGCGTCCGGCGCGCCCGGCACAGGCGGCGGGGGGTCCCACGTCGCCGCACCGCGGGGTCACCTTGACGGGTGGATGGGCGGGCGGCGAGCGCCCTGCCCCTCACGAAGTTTGGGGGTGAGGGGCCGTCACAAGGACGGCCCTCCGCTGCTGCTCACCGGGGCTGCCGGCGGGCTTTGCTCCCTCCGGGCGGTGCGCGGCGCTGGGCAGGCCGCAGGAGGAGGCCGCGGCGCACCTTGCGGGCCGAGCGGCGGTGGGCTGGGGCGGTGCGGTGCGGTTCGCAGCCCTCAGCCCTTGTCGGCCGCAGATACTGTGGTCAGAGCGTTCTCCAGCCAGGCCTCGGCAGTTGTCCTCTTATCTTTAGGCAGCTTGGTGGGTTCCTCGATGCTGCGCTGTTAGTACTGCCCTGGCAGGTTTCGTCTCTCAGCCTCCAGCACTCCAGCCTCAGCTCTTCTTAGCCTTGTTGCCACAGCCGTGTCCACCGTGCTGACGCTCAGCTCTGCTGCAGCCACCTTCTGTGTTTCTGTGCATGTGCTGCTGCTGAAATCCTGCTGTGTAAAACAAGGAATGAACTCACCTGCTTCATGAGCTGTAACTCTTTAACACTTCAAACTATGCATCTGCCTCTTTGGCAACAGGTTGTCACCACTGACCTGTGCTCAGCTTTGGATGCCCTCTAGCTCCAGTGGAATCTTCTTGCAGAATTAGTTGTAGCCTTTATTTCCAGCCATGTCTGTTTACTTTGCCCCCCAAGCACAGAACTTCACACTCATCCACATTAAACTTTATCCTATTTTTGTTCCCTGCTCACATCTCTGCCTTGTGGATAGTATTTTGAATTGTGTTTTGAATTGTGATAGCTGTTCTTGAAGCTCCTCCCAAACAGGAGGAGCTACACATTTACTAAGTCTGAATGGTACATGGTCCGAATTTGGCAGTGTCAGTAATCCGTTATCTTTGTACCTGGCCTTGGAAAAGTAATCAAACATTTCTTCAGGGTCCAGTGAATGTTGTAGGCCTGACCATGTAGCCCAAAAAGCCTGGTTTTAATCACTAGTGGGAAGTCAAGGAAAGAGTACGGGATAGGGAGGATATGCAAAGGTGAGGTTCTCTGCTATATATCAAGGTCTGTCTTACACTAGAATAAACAAGGTAGGATTTCTGAGCCTTCGTGATGCCTTTTATTCCAGTCATCATAATAACCCTCTTTCCTTGCAGTTTAAATTGATTGGTTTTGAACAGTTAAACATAACATTTTACACAGTTGCTAATCAGGCCTCATCAGTATTTTCATGCAGTGGCTTTAATACTTGTTTTGTTCACTGGAGACAGCTCAGTTCACCTGGTACAGCCTAGGGTCAGCTTTGGTTTTTTTTCCCCTCAGTGTCACCTCATTGAGAACTTGTTATTCGCTTGTGATATCCAGATGTTCCCCTTGCATTATGCACGTAGTGCTGCAGATCTTACTAGTCTCTAGGTGCATCCCCTTCATACCATGCTGACACCATTGAGTTCCATGCTGGTGGTACCAGCCCAGCCCTGAAGACAGTACTGAACCTCCTATACAACAGTGTAACCTTCTCTGTCTGGTAGTATCGTAACATGTCGGACTCCTGTGCTTTCTGGGGATGGGTTTCTGATTTGGTTTTGTTTTCGCCAGGAACCTGGTAAAGTGTTAAGTAAGTCTACTAACATCATCATTCTTTGTGGAACTTCACTAGAAACTTTGGATCAATTCTATTTCTTCTTCCAGCTGAGCATGTTGTTTTCTTCCTGTCAGTGTATTAGTCCCTTTACAGTTATTATACATTTCAAAACATTTTTTCATTTGTTTGTGGTACAATATTTTTGAGGTCAGCTTGTCTTTGGGGACATCTCAACTTCGTATTCCTGCTGTGATGACAGGCAGCTTCTGACTTTTCTGTCTCCACGGTAGAAAGCAGTTCAGGTAGACCTTCCTCTTGCACAATGTTTTTTCAAGCTGTTAAGCAGTATCAGTTAAGACAATATATAATTTCCCTGGCTACTGTTTTACTATTATTATTGTTTTCTGTTATCCTCCCTAAGTTGTTTTCTTCACTTTGTTTCCCTTTTCAGGCAGTAGCTATTACACTGGCAGTTCTCAAGAAGGAATGGAGCTGAGAAAATAAAAGTGTAGAAGAGTTTGAGTGTTAGGTTTCACTAGAGTGCCTCTTCCTAAGCACATCTTAAGGAACGTCTTGTCAGGGAGCTTATGTGAGTCAAAGATCACAGGTTGTGCGAAAACCTTTCTACCATGAAGGAAGAGAGAATAGACAAGACTGGAGGCAGTGCTCTCTTTTTTTCTGTTCAGAAGACTGAAGTTAGAACAGAGTAGTGCTAGGTGGAAAATCACACCTGCTCCTCATAACTATACCGACCATAAACATAGTCACTGCCCCCTTTCATCTTTCAGGCCACTGAATCTTTGATCCCAGCTCAAGGAATAGACTTGGTGCTTACAGGAAGAGTGATCAAGGTGTATCTTGCAAAAACTGATGTATTTTAGAAGTAATTACTTGGAGAAATGATCTACCCAAGTCAGGAGACTTTCTCTACAAGGGTTTTATTCGGAATTTCTCTGCTTTTCTCTAAATGCTTACATCTTTCATAGTTATACCAAAGCTAGAAAGTAACAGTTGTAATTTAGGGTTTAGTGTGCATTTCCTTGGCAAGCAGCTATGATGGCTTAAAATACTACTGTTCCTCCTGGCGGTTAGTGCCCACATGGACATGTGAGATCTCTCAATGTGCTTTAGTGCTGACCACTTTTCCATGGCAATTCAAGCTGAAATGCTTGTAACAAGTAGTTGAGAAGGATGGTAACATCTTCAACGAAATGTATTTAACATGTGTCTCTGGGAATCCCTTCCACAGCTTTTAAGGTTTTGTGGGTGTTACATTGTGTATATTGCAGAGTCACTTTGTCTTCCACTATGAAGAGCTTTTAAATAAATAATAACCCCCAATGGCCTTTTTGTATAACTTTTATTATCCTGTCACTGGAGTGCACATTAAAGGCATGCTGGCATTAGTTGCAGAGTTGGTGATTATGTTTTGCTGTCCATAAGCTTGCATAGTTTTTTTAATACCTTTATATATATATATATGTTTAAGAGTTTTCATTACAGATTTCTACCAACCCCTAAGAAACTTCTATCACAACTTAATTCTAACATGATGGTAATTGAAAGTGTTGTTTTGGGAATTCACAGGGTCAATGATTTGAAGACTGGTACACTGGTAGGAACTGACAAATACGGAAACAAATACTATGAAGACAGAAGAAACTTCTTTGGTATGTGTACTAGTGTGAACACCTCCTGACTGTCCAACTTTGCATAGCTTGTGTAGTTTCTGTTAGTGAAATAAAACGTGCTGTCTGCCTGACTTCCTCACACGTAACTTGTGTGAGTCTTAAAGAGGGGGCAAGAAATGCTTTGACATCTTTTGTTTCTCTGTTGCTTCTCTCAGTTCCTTTGCCAACATAGTCAATCTGAAATACAGGACAAATGTAAGACACTCAGATGTTTTCCATATAGGTACGCCTATACGATAATCTAATTGAGGGCTGAATTCGGTCCCTGACCTAAAAGCTAGTAGCTTAAAAGGTGGGGGAAGAAAGAGAAATGCCTTTAAAACTGTCTTGTAGCTATACTTACTTGTGTGAGCATTTCATGGCAAAGAGACACAGATTAGCTTAAACTCCTGTTAAGTAATGTGATTTTAAATAACATTTGTAGAGTACTTGAAAAGGTAGCACCTAAAACAACAAAGGTGGAAGGTGATGTGTAAGTAATTGACATGCTTGGTAGGCCGAACTCTGCCTGCTGTAGGTTAACTGGTAGGGTACCTGGGGAAAGCAGCTGCTGGTAAACATTGCTTGCTAGTTTTATATGGCTGAAACTTAGTTTAATCTTCAGCTACAAATGGCAATGTCCTTTTGGAAAAGACTCCTCCCAGAAAACTGTTTCTCTGCCTGAAAATTTTCTAAGTTCCTATTTCCCATTACTTATAAAATAGCTAATACTTGTTTCCTCATGAGGGCATTAAATACAGCCATATCAAAATACAGTAACAGTGGAAATATGGAAGACTTAGAAAAATAAAAGCTATAGAGACTTTGAAATAAGTGCCCATAATGGTAGATACTTTTTATGAAAATACTTTTCCTTGTTCTTTTCTTTATATGAAAACAGTTTGGTTTTTTGAGCTGATAAAATATTTCTGTTTGTTTATTTAAGGTCGCCACAGATGGGTCATCTATACTGATGAAATGAATGGCAAAAATACATTTTGGGAAGTTGATGGAAGCATGGTGCCACCCGAATGGTAAACCATTTAGCTTAATAATGTGGCCAAACACCACAATTGCCTGTATATTTTCTTGTATTACAAAGCAGAAAGTTAAAAAAATTAATTATAAAGTTTTCTTGGGTGCAGCTATCTTATATATGGCCAGAAGATTTGAGACTTTTAATCCCTATTCATAATGTTATATTGCCCACTGTCTTTAACTGTCACGCTCACTGCTTCTTGGAATGAGAAGAAGATTTTGACAGCCAGATTGAGCAGGTGAAGCCAGTCTTCCAATTTTCCTTACTGTGATTCTGTCTTAATGGTTTGGCAAAGCATACAATAGCATTGAGCAGCCTGAGGGAGAAAAAAATAGCTTAAATTATCCATTCTAGACAAGAACCCAAAGAAGGTAAGGCAGTAATGCAACAACATTCCCTATTCTACAACCATTAACAGCATAATTGTTTCAGTGGATATACCTTGATATTCTACAAGATGATGAACAGCAAAGGGCCAGGGTACTCAGCTCAGTATGTTGACTACTACTTGACTATATTTTTTCTTCAGGTTTTATTTTCTGTTTATGCCTTTCAGTAGTAAGTACAACCTCGAGTTCAAGATCTCTGGCCACACAGCTGTTAGTACTTTTTTTGTCTTCCTAAATAACTCAGGAAAAACACATCCCAAATAAAGAAACGGTTTATGCTAGCAAAGCCAACTGCCACCTGATTCTTGGGGAGTATAAACAGCACTTCAGCCACAAAGTAGTGAAAGATGGTATGAAGTTAGAGGTGTTTGGGTAGACTGAGCGTTGCTGAACACTGGCTTTTATTGTTCCTGTGACAGATGTTCTGTGCAAGGCTGAGATTAATTATGTAAGCTCCTAAATTGCGGCTGTCATTAGAACATTTGAGAAACCTGTGGGCAGATTGTCTAAGTAGTCAATTTTGCTTCAAATTCTCCCAGCATTAAAATTAGATTTAATGCAGTGAATGCTTTTTTCTATCTTCTTCAGTAAAAGCTTAATGGCATTGTTTTTAGAAGTGGCATCAGAATCTCCAAAACCAGCATGTTCATGCCAGTGCTGAGCTGTTCCTTGTTACCTGCATAATAATTGTTGTTTTTATCCTTGCACTATTAGATTGTGCCAGTTTTCAAGATGGTCCTTATTTTGAATCACACTTTTTTGTTGTTTTCTCTTTTTTTTGCTTGTGCTTATGTGTTGTTTATTGTGTGCTTAAAAACCTCAGTAAAGGGTTTCTTTCTGAGTGTCAAAGTGCTGTTTCTAAGATCAAGTAGCTTGTTTAGATCACAGAAATTAGTGAGGTAGAAAAACTTGGTTTTCTGTTAGTGTGGGAAAAATTGCCCTGGAAGAAACAGTAAAAATTTAGTTATTTTCAAGGCTGGTCAGTGCAGTGAGGCACAAATGGGTAAACAGTCCTGTCTCCTGAGGTATTTTATCAGGAAACTTAGTTGTGCAGTACTGTTCAGTTTTGGGGGTACTTTTTTATCACTGATAAATTTGTATATCTCATGGCAACCCTAGATGTTCATTCTTATGTAGGAGTCCTAGCTTTGTGACACATCTAAATCACTGGCATTTAATTTTATACTATTTAGATACATCTTTAAAAATAGAAACATTTTGAGTGGGAATAAATGCTAGTTTTTAAGACTCTTTATTTTTCATCTGATGGTATACCATCTTAAATTTTTGAAGTGGCATAAACTTCTGAACTGAGACTATGTATTGTTCATGTATTGTACAAGTTTCTGTCCACGTCAACATTGGGGTTGTGCAGATACAGAGGGAACTGAGTGGGTTTACTGGACCCAGAAATGTTTTAGAAAGAAATTAGGTTGTGTGAAATTACTTCTATTAAAAAAGAGATGAATTTGGTCTCTAGTATAATAGTACCTGTCCTGTCAGTTGTAAAAAATGTTTCTCTCTCAAAACGCTAGCCCTGCCTTCAACAGACGAAAAGCTTAGCAACCTTTGGTCAGCTGGGAAGCATATAAAGTACTGTTGTAACAGCTGGGTTGTGATCTGAATACTTCTTCTAAATTATGATTTTTCACATCAGGTTTTAGTTAATTCAGCTAAGCAGAGCATTTTGTGGGTATGTTGTTGTACCCTCTGAGGGTGGAAGCAGGTTTTACTATTGTTTATGCTGGTGTTACTTTCAGAAACTATTTTGGAACTGTCATGCCTAAAGATGGCACTTTTAAAGAAATTGACCAGGGATAACCTAGAGATTTCTGATTTTTATTTTGTTAATAGTAATGCTAACTAGTTTGTAATGATTTTGCAGTGATTTTCTAAAAATCCTACTGTATGTAGGATCGCACTACAGATTATCTTACTGATTACACTATTTTCTTGGGAGGAATAGAAAACACTAGCAGATATGCAGGAGAAACACTCCCTTTCTTCTGCGCATCTTCTGTGCATCCTGAAGAATAGTTTTGTGGACAGTTGTGTACTTTCAGGCTTATAGAATATGAATGATTGTTGAAATACCGTCAGGTGGACCTTACCATGTGTGATGAATTGGGAAAAAGCATTTTGGAGTATCGAAAAGTTCTGAAAACAACTGTCTGGGAAAATAAAATGAGAGTTCATTTAGCTACCCTTTACCTTTTTTTTCAGATACTAGAGAAAAGAAAAAGCAGCAAGAAAAAACATCTCATGTAGTAACATACTGTAGTAGCATTTTTAGGAAGCACTGAGTATTTTCAGCATTCTGAAATAATTGATGTAATGTCTTCTGACAACGGATGTACTGAAATCACAGTCTGAAGGAAATCAGAAGAGTTGTTTTGACATATGTCTACTATACAGGGAATTGAGACTTGTTTTTTAAAAAAATACTGCCATACAAGAGTATGTAGGCTTGTGGTTCATTCTGATTTAGTTGTGTTTTTTAACTCCTTGTGACTCTGTGTTTTCTTTTCAAAGATTCTGGGAGGTTCAGCTTGAGTCTGCTTGGGGGGAGTGTGAAACTTGGAAACCAATTTTCCACTTTTGGTGGGGTTATGCTGTGAAGTAAGGCTTCCTTTGGAGAGTCCAAAGTCCGTGCAAGTAAAGCCCTGATGTCCTAGATTCTAGCTGTGCTTCTCTTGCATCGTATTCAGTCTTTTCATGGCTCTCCACCCACTATCCATTTACCATTTGTCTGGTTTAATCTAGGTTGGTTTGTGTTTTGGCCAAATACTTTGTAGAACAGATTGACAACTGGTTTATGTAAACAAATGAGTTAAAAATAATTTGCTCTTTCAATATGTTATGCCCAGTGTAAGAAGAACTATAATTTGAGAAGAGTTTCCTCCTTTTGCAGGGGCACTTCATTTTGCCAGCACTGTCCTATGTATAATGTCTGTCCTCTGCTTTGATGTTTAATTCCTTATGGTGCAAATCTGACATATTTGGAAGAGCCTCAGGGGTGCTAACTTCCTACTGTGGAATAGTTAATATTCAACTCTGGTTTAATAACCTACATCCTCTTTAGTTAATCTGACAGCTGAAGGAGGAAGGAATGTAGCATGTCAGACTTACAAGTGCCAATATACTAAGAAATGTAAAGAAATGTGCTAATCTCCTGTAAAGCTGCGGCTTTTAAAGTCTGCCTCCAAGGAAAACAGGCAAAAAGATTGAGCAGAAAAGTAGGGGGGTAAAAATTCTGCCCTTTTAATAGCTTCACAGTAAATCTGTGGGGTTTATAACTAGATTAAATACTACTATATGGTTTCAGGTAAATGGGATGCTCATTACTATACAATGGTATCTTATGGCAGCATGCATGAGAAATCAAAGTGAATCTCCCATGTGCAAACAAATAAAAGCATGTTTCTTGACCCTTTTTCTGTCTTCCTATTCTTCTCTGCCCTTTGACCATAACATACATCTTCACTTCCCTTGTGTTTTACTGCAGCATGGTTAACTTTGTTGAAAAAAGTGGATGCCAACCAGTTGGCAAACATCCTGAACTTACGTAGATGGTGCCTGAACCTTGCAGATGCACATATGGTAATAGCTGCAGAGTTTGTATAGCATCAGTTCTTGTTTGACAGCTTGTACATCATATAATTGGCTCCATTCCCTTGTAGCTTCAGTTGGAAACTTCCTTGCCTTTAAATATTTGTTTAAGACCTGGGGGAAAATTCTCATGGAGTCTTGAGAGCATTTGATGATACTGTCATCTATCTACCCAAGGAAAAGGCCGGCGACTTCGTTAGCCTCAGTCTGCTTGGTAGTGACTTTGGTCTGTGGTTCAGGAAGCTGCGTCAGTCTCTTCAGAGCTTCTGCTATGCTCCTGAATTTCTTTGCTCTATCTAAATTGTCTGCTTTTTTGTAGGTTTTAAGTCATTAATTGCTTTTGAATCCTTTTTTTTTCCATGCATGGATTTACAGGGAGAATTTATATGGAAATCTGGCCATCTGCAAGATGTCAAATCTCTTTATTCATGCTATTCAATCTAGTGCATGAAAAGCTTTTCTTGAGCATCTGAGAACAGAGTCTATGAGACATCAGAGCTTCAAAGGACTCTTTGAGGAAGGTTGTCAAGGGGAAAGTCTTCCCAAAATAAAATTTTCAGATTTTATGTATTTTTACTTAAGTGGAGAGTGAGAGCCTTTGTTTGAGACAACAGATTAAGTGCAAACCAAAATGCTTTTGTAAATAACATGCTGGGCTTCTGAGGGGAATCGTGACCAGGCTTAAGCCCTGAAACTCTTGTTTCTGCCAACTCTGATGCTCCTCACAGGAGGCATGATATCTCAGGTGGTGTGAAGCACACTAGTACACAATTCTGATGGGTGTGAACTGGGAGAGGGAGTTCACCTAAGGTCAGAGTTTGTGTAATGGGGGCAGGGCATTTCAGAGGCTGGTAATGACTTACTGGTCAAAACCAACCACATGCATCACCTGAGCTACACCTGCAATGAGATTCAGAGCCATTCCACCTGAACTCTTGGGCCAGAGTAGGGCAGCTCCAGGCTGGTCTGCACAACCAGGTGCCTTCTGCCACAACCTGTTCTCATAGGCAAAGGAAATGGACTTTTCAGTCCTGTTCTGGCCGGGGGATGCCAGTTTGCTGCGCCGCGAAATGTCAGCCTCCACACTGAAGACAATAAATGCCCTTTTCTTCTCGAGGGGAGGGAGAACAGCTCCTCCTATCATTGTGAAGCAGAATTCATCAAGCGTTGGATTGTTCACCCACTAATAGGGAACGTGAGCTGGGATTAGACCATCGTGAGACAGGTTAGTTTTACCCTACTAGTAATCCTGCTCACCCCCAGTGCGTGCGCTTGGCTGAGGAGTCACTGGCGTGAGGCTACCATCTGTGGGCTTACGACTGAACACACCTCTAATAATCCCGCCTAGACACTTGATGTTGTGCTGTTGTGTCATCAGTCGCTTGTGATTGATCCAGGAGATGACAGCCTTGTTCAGAATGCATGGGTAAAGCTATTCCCGAATCTTCGTTAGCGAAGACAGACCTTCCTCATGGGAGAAGGAAAACTCCTATCTTCAAACCCCGGCTGATGGAGCTCGTCTGGCCTTGTATGGTCTTCCATCAAAAAGGACACTCTTACAAAACCTATGACCTGTGGACTTTGCTGTCAGCGTCCTAGCTAACTAGGCTGTGCCAGTTAAACCTCAGGTTTAAAGGATGGGGCCAGTTCTGCGCAACCTGCGCCTCACCTAAGAAATCCACTGCGCAGGCTGGAAGGGCTCACTCTCACTTCTCTGTATGGATGGGCAAGGAACGAAATGGTAGGTGACAAGGTGCATGGGAACCTGCAGATCCAACCTTGCATGTGGGCGGACCAGCGCATGGGTAGCTCAAGATTGCTCAGGAGATGACAGTCCTGGTCAGACACTTCCTAATTGCCTTAGCACACTTTTTTCAGCCAGATTTGCATATCCCATATGCCCTTGGTCATCGTGCTTGTAGTAAGTGTGGTTAAAGCCCTTCCCAAATCTTCGCTCATGAAGCCAAGCCATCGATATGTGGCGTATCAAAGACGGACTCCAGTTCTGGTGAAATCTGAAGACCTTTATTGCGTCTTGCATCCATTTTATAGTCCACTAAGTGCTAAGCAGTAATTTTCCACTCTCTTACTTCCTTGTCATCCTTATTCAGCAAAACTACTAAGGGTTACAGATATTTACGTGTTTGGTCTGTCTTTGAGTTACACATACTGATTTATCTTGCAAACCGCCTGCTTTGTTTTGCTAACCGATCTTGACGCTTCATTGTTCTCTTTACTGTTCCGAAGGCTTAAGCCAACCAAGGCGATGATAATACCTGGATCCATTTCGTTAACTATTTCTATCACTTCACCCACAGTAATACCAGGTTTAAAATCGAGCAAGGCCTGATCCTGTATCCTCAGACCACACCATGATTTGTAGTGCTATGGGGGTGCCTTCTTCCAGACAGAAATCATTACCCCAAATCTTTTATAATAGAAGTAGTGGAAATGTGTACTTCAAATGATACCAGACTTACGAAGGAGAGTGGGGGGAGGAAGAGAGGGATCCACTTCCCATTCATGTTGCTACTTAATATATATAACACTTCCAAACTCCTAAGTGGATGATTTTTCCCATAGGAGGCCCTTCTTTACCTCTAAACAAGTTGGGTTTTCTTACTTTTAAAGGATTTTATGGTTCCGTCTGGTTTTGTATTCAATCCAGTTTCCTGACAGTCCTTAGTCTTATAACTTGTGGCTTTCGTTTTGGGGTTTTTTTTGTTGGTTTTTTTTTTAACTTCTAGAAAATGAACATGTGGCTGACATTTTTTAAAGTGAGATTTAGTACTAAAGTTATATCCAAAGTTGTGATTTTTAGCTTTTCTGAAAAATCTAGTAACTATTTGACTGGGAAGATAATCAACCTTCTGTAGAGCTCTTCAGATTTAGAATATACTTGTCAGTCTGTTTCTCACTACTTTTATTGAGGTTTTGTTTTGCTGTATCAATGAAGTGTGCCAGATTTGTTGCTAAAGGCTGAAGATGCAATTTTTAGGCTTTCCAATAATAACTGAAATAGAAGAATTCTTATTTTTAGGTCGAAGTCTTTGACAAAAGCTGATTAGCAGAAGCCTCTTTAATTCTACCTCAGTAAAAAATACATAAGCTTGCAAAAAAAGTCATAACCTCACTTCTGTCAACTGTGCATGCAGAATGAAGAACTGGCAGATAATTATTCAGGTTTGAAAGTTGCTCTGGGCACTGTAATAGAAATGGGATGAAACCAATTCAGTTGATCCCTGCTATAGTGTTTCAGTAAATTGTTATGGAAAGTACTTTGCTTGATCATTAATGTTGTTTGCACAAGGGAGGATTGGCATTTAGTTCCTAGGTAAAGGATAATCACTATAATCACTCGATAATTACTCCATCCCTGATCGCTATTAATCATTTCACTGTGCACTCAGTAAACATTTAGGTGATTGATCGTTGTAGGTGAACCTGCACCATTAATTCATATCCCAAGTGGTTGCTTCATGAATGCTTTGGAGTTGGTACTGAAGTTGTTGTGCAGCGTAGTCTTTTGGTAATCACACCAAACCAAAAACCTAAAACCCAACAAAAAAAAAAAACCCAGACAATGAAACAAGACCTTGTGGTTTTGTCATTTTGACCTGGCTGGCTGGTTAAGGCCATACAAACAGGTAACAATTAAATAGTCTGCTCAAATACTGAGCGTACAGAGGAACAGGAAATTCAAACTTGGGTGTGCTTTCAGTTGCTTAGGAGCAGAACTCTTACTTATCAGTTATGTTTCTGTAATTACTTTAAATCAGCATCCTATACCCTCATTCAAAGTCCTAATGGATTAAAATTATACTACCACTAACTCCCCAAATAAATCCTTAGTGTCTTCAGAGGAGAACCCTTGGGAGGAAGGCTTGTTACAGGTCATTTAATGTTTCTTAATGACAGTGTGTCTTTTTCCTCTTAAGGCATCGCTGGCTTCACTCAATGACGGATGACCCTCCAACTACTCATCCACCAGTTGCTCGGAAATTTATCTGGGAGAACCATAAATTCAATCTGAGTGGCACTTCCGGACAGTATGTACCTTACTCCACTACTCGCAAGAAGATACAAGAGTGGGTCCCACCTACAATGGCTAGCAAATAACAGCAAAAAAACGTGACTTGCCTCAGCTTTGGCTTTCAGCATAAATTGTATTTTCACTGGTTTTATTCAGAATAAAAACCTTCTACAACAGCTTTAATTTAGCATATTGAATAGAGGGGGGAAATGAGTGGGAAAACATTCGGAAGAGGTAGAGGACAGAATACATGACAAGTCTTAATCTCATCAAGATATCAGGCTTTTGAAATATTGTCAGTGGCTCCTGTCTTCACATAAGCAGCTCCCAAACTCTTTATAGCATGAGAACCATTCCTGTGAGTCACTCCTCACATTTGTACCATTCAACAGAATAAAAATACAAACTTGAAATACAGGATTATCATATTTAACATTTATCCTATTATAGCTTCTGCATGGCAAATAATGTACTATTCATGTACTGTTTTAGGAAGTCATCTCTTTAAATATTTATAATTCAAGTTAGAATAATACAGCCAATCAAGGATTATAGTTTTTATTCATAAAATCTTTGTACATGAATACAAAGTACATGTACAGCATGCATTGCTGTATTACAATACGATATCAGTCATAATACAAAAACTCGTAAGGCTATAGTAATCAAGTGACATCTCACCCCTTAAAGGAACTTAGCTATATGCAGAAGGCCCCCTGTCACAAATACGTGTTTTGATTGCTTCTGTGTTACTGAGATTCATTAGTAGTTAGTCTCACAAAGGTTTGGGAATGGGCTATTGTCCTGGGTTCAGCAGTAGCAGTTATTTTTTTCTCCTCAGTAGCTGGAGCAGCGCTGTGTTTTTGACTTTCATCCTGGGAACAGCGCTGATAACCCCGATGTTTTTAGTTACTGCTCAAATGTTTACTCTGACCAAGGACTTTCTGAGCCTCATGCTCTGCCAGGGAGGAGGGGAAGCTGGGAGGAAGCAGAGACAGGACACCTGACCCAAACTAACCAGAGAGGTATTCCATACCACAGCACATCATGCCCAGGATGTAACTGGGAGTGACCCGGAAGGGCACTCACTGCTCGGTCGAACTCGTTTTGGTGGGTGGTATCGTATTATCTTCCCTTGTTATTTCCCTTACCATTATTGTTATTGGTGGTAGCAGCAGTGATTTGTGTTATACCTTAGTTACCAAACTGTTCTCATCTCAACCTGTGGGAGTTACATTCTTTCCGTTCTCCTCCCCGTCCCTCCAGGAGCGGGGGAGGTGGGAGGAGAAAAGGGGGGAGGGGGGGGAGCAGCGTGGGCTGCGTGTCTTACTTGATGACAGGGTTTAAACCAGGACAGCTATTTGCCTTGGTGTGGCAAGACTTTAAAGGTCCTTGGAAGTTCTGAAAGTCATTGTTTTGGGGAGGTGGACAAGTACAATGTACCAGAACCTATTTTCGAAGTTGTGCAGTTGCAAGTTCACATTTGAGTGCTGTTTGGGGCTGTGACTCTTTTCTTGCACTTGGTTGGTTCTTATTCCAGCCTGCTGGTATTTTTTAGCAGAGCTACCCTTTCCACAAGGCCTCTCATATCTGATAAGCTAATCTGTAGATAGCAAATGGAGGTGGGATGCCCGCCCAGCCCCTCACTCAGGCCACCACCTCAACTAGATGGGGGAGAAAATAGAAAGCTCATGGGTAGAGATAACAGTGTGGAGACTGCTTGCCAGTTACCATAATGAGCAAAAGAGACTTCCATTTCTTGCCAATTAAATAGATTTGCGCAGTGAGAAACAGAGGCAAAAAAATGTAATGCGTGATGGTTCTGTTCTTCCTTAAGCACTCTTTCCCAGAGGTGCCGCCATCTTGTCTGCCCGGCTCAGCTGTGCCCTGTGGTGGGTCAGTTGGAACCAGCTGCGTCCGGCATGAGGCAGCCCCAGCCTCTCCTCACAGGGGCTGCCCCTGTGCTCCCTCATTAAATCAAATTCTGCATTAATTCATTACTTAAAGGTGGGTTTCTTAGCTTCAATTGCTTTAAATTAGTCTTTAGGTTAGTGAGGTAGGGAAGTAGCACTTACTGAGATCTCCTAACCTACCTAATTAAAAAAGGGTAACGTTTAATTTAAGGCAACAAAAGCATCGAGCATGACTGAAAAGCAATTTGAGCCATACTGAGCAGCGGACATGGAAAGAACTCTTTCAACATTTTCATCTTGATAGATTATTTGACCGTAAGAACAAGTTTGCCCCAGTGCTTCTGAAGAGCTTCATTACTAACACTCATCTGTACAAGCCCTGTGAGAACAAACCTGGGTAGAGCAATTAACTCTTACTAGTTTCAGCCTCTACCATTTTAATGTGCTTTCTACCTATTTCATTCCTCTTTATTTATCCTGTGGATTTTTTTGATTGCAGTGTGAACACGCATCAGGAGGTACAGTTGGGAATGAGCCTCTGTTCAGGAGACAGACAGGGATGCAGTAACTCTTCCTACACCTCCTGTACTGAACAGAGAAGCTTCAGAGCTGGTTTGTCATTTTGTCAGCTGGAACAGAAATGCTGAGGGAGTGAACAGCTTTGTGTGCAGCAATACTGCACAGAAAATCAGGAAAATGGGTTCACCCTCCTGCCCTGCTGGGCCGAAGCAAGCTTAGGTCTCGGTAGCTTGGTTTGGAAAATAACAGCAATCCCGTTTCTGGAAAGGACAGAAACCCGCTCATCCTGCTTTAATCAGCAGGAGCCACATATGCTGGGTTTTAAACACAGAATTTCACTTACATCTCTTGTAATATTGCTTCTCCAAGGTAGACTGCATAAGGCATTTACGGGACATAAAACATATGCAGAAAAATCAGTGGTCTTCCACAGGGCTCTCTGTAAATGCTTCTGTGATTCAGTCTTTTTACGAGCAACCTCATTCACTTATGGAAGCTCACCTTTGCTCATGACATCTGCCTCAGCATCCAGGCTCAGTTGCTTTCAGGTCTAAATGACATTTTAAGCCAAGCTGCCTGAGTGTCACAGCAGATGGTGTCTTCAGCCAAGTGCAACTGAAGCATTGACAGGAATATTCCCCTTGCACTAAATGTGAGTTTTAGAAGAGGCAACGTTCTGACATGGGAACCATCTCATTAAGAAGACAAATATCTTTTCCAGGGCAGAAAAGTGCTGAAACTCACTTTTATTTTTAAATTGTGCCTTTACTGGTAGCTTTCCACATCCGTGCAGTCCAGGGCAGCCTTTTTGCTGTAGCTGCCTCCAGGCTATCACTGTGCTGACAGCATGCTCACTTAGCCCTGTACATTGGCGTGGAGACCTTCCCTCAACAGGGCATTGCATCCTTCCTTGCTGCTGCCCAGGGCTGTACCTCTCTGTCTAATACAGCCAAAACGTGACATGAGACAGGGTGAAGAATGACAAAGAAAGGAGCTTCAGGAGGCCATCTCCCTATGTGAAGGTCCCAGTAACAACTGGTCAATACTGAGGTGTGCAATACAGCTCTGCAGCACAGATCCTACGGCAGCTGCACCACCAGTCGCATGTGCTGAGCCAGCAGTGATGCACAGCAGAACGTCCTGCCCAGTCCCCATCACTGGGGCTGACTACCAGCAGAGTATTTATCAAGTCCCTGGTAGCTGACCAACAGCCTGGGTCAGCACAACACAGCCTTAAAATACTAAGAGCAGGTTCCATCAAGACGATCCATTGGCAGCACACTGCTCACAAATCCTCCAGATTTTGACTTAAGACCCCAAAATCGTGCTGGCTGTCTAGGTCTGGAGCAGATGGAGGTTGTCTTGCAGACAGAGGACTTGTGCTGTAGGTGAGTACAAACAACACTATTCAATGCTCTTGAGACTTGGTATTAGCTGTGATGTTGAAAGCAGTTAATGAATCCACTGTAGCTGTTTGGCAAAATATCTCTTCATCAGATGAGATAGATGAGAGGCAACACCAGCATCACACTAAAGAGCCTGCAGCAGAGTTATCATTTCATAACCATTTCTAGCTACAGCAAGAGGAGAACTGTTTGGCAGGCAGGGACATCCTAGACCATTTAAGAAAGCTGGAAGGGAGAGGGAGGAGGCCCTGTTCTTTCCTGCCCCAACCTGTCCTGCAGTACTGACTCCAGCATGCTTTGCCCACCTGGCTCCTTGACAGTACACTGAAAACATTGAGGTACTCACCACCTCTCACTTCTATGTCATATAAGCTCAGGCTTCAATTTGGGTGATGTTTCCTGCTAAGGTTGGTGCTGGGAAGCAGTTTTGAGTGGGAATTACAGGGACAATTATTTTGGATACAGTTGGAAGTCATCAGCTCAGGAAGCTGGGGTATATATTTTCCACAGCTGTGATGCATTCAGAGTGAAACCTTTGAGTTAACTAATTCTATGGGGCTTATTATTCTGCTGGCAAGCAAGGGTGAGAGAGAAAACAGATCCTTGCTCTGCTAAGAGGTGAAAACAACTGCAAGTTTAAAGGCTTTCCCTTCACATGGTGCTCACAAGGGGTGTACAAAAGCAGGTACTTCCACGTGGGGGGTAGGGGTGGCAGCCTTTAAATGGAACTTCAGGTTCCCCATGCAGATTCCACAGTAAATGCTGGATTACACCTGCGGGAAGCTTATCTCAGTGGAAGAGCACAGAGCAACCTGTGTCAGTGGGGAAGTACCCAGCAGGGATTTCCTCCCAGAGACCTGGTGAGCTTTGAACACCCCCCTCAGGTTCCCCAAACAGAGCAGGGCCCACGCACTGGAGCTAAAGGTGGCTCATGCTTCCAGCCAAGTTTCAGTGTGGAATCCAGGAAGGGGAGCGCCTTGCTGTGTGTGCCATTCCCAGCTGCCAGCAGGAGTGCGACCACTCTCAGCCCACAGAGGATCTTGAAGCCCCTAGAGACTTGCTTCTGCTGAAGAGCTAGGTCTGTCAGCCATTTCCTTTACTTGCAGTTTCGAGTCACATGGATGCAGGTAATGTCATTTCCCAGACTGATGAGTTTTGCAGGCACTCCTAGCCTTGTTCACATGTGACAAATACAAAGGGCAGAATTGAAGCAGGATTTTGAGGAAAAGGAGCATTTAAAAATTTATATATATAATAATCACCTATATGATCATTTGGGTTTTTTAAAAATAAGACTTATAATTTCCTCTATGCATTTTAGTTTGAAGTTTTGATTCA